GCTCATTCAAATTGTCCTGGTTAATTGTGTTCTTGCTTTACAGGATTGTTTTCAGGTCAGCTATTAGCCCAAGGTCCAGCCTTGTTCACCTCTGTCAATATATTTATTGAATATATATCCATAAACCTAATACGGCAAAAGGAATTGCTTACACCTCATTCATTGATTTCTAAAACAAAATATTTCAATAGTGACCTACCTAAAACTCTATAAAGAGTGGCATTTAGGTATTTAATTTAAACTGGTTATAATTTCGTCAATATTCTGCAATAGGAAGCACCAGAATCTTTTATGATGTTATAAATCACCACTAGATTATGCCTGTTTTTTGTAAAGAGCTTTTAGTACCTTAGAGCTTAAATTTATCACTTATTCTTGCCATTTGTTTTATAACCTTAACTAGTTGTATGCCATAACCTAAACTTTGCATTTCTTTTTGACCCCTAATGTTAACTTTTTTTTATATTTTGCTTGAATTTGGTTAATGAAAAATAAATTTGATATGATGCTGCCTGATCTGATGATTATTTGGATTTTACGGTTCTGTGGGACTGAGCTAATATAATGATCAACATACATACATACATACATTGGATAGGTATGAATAACATTTTTCTCAAGCTACCTACTTTGCTTGTAAACCCAACAATTTAAACGTACATTTGAGAACTCACATAGTTGGGGGGAGGATGGAATGGCAAAAGAGGGACATAGAGGCATTACAGAAAGAGTATAGGACATAAAAATTAAATTTAAGTGAAAATATAGTAGCAAAATATAGTTACCAAAATGTTAAAGTTCACCACTTATGGTTGTGGCTTTGAAATCCTGCGGTCCCAAAAGTCGAGTCACTGCACACGATTAATATGAATTTGGGCAGTCTTACATTATCTTACATGTCAGAACTTGGGCTCAGTCCAAGCTGACACTTCAGTGAAGTATTGGGGAAGCCCTGCATTGTCAAAAGTTTTGGGATGAGATGTTAAGCTGGGGTCTCATCTGCCTGTTCTGACAGAGGTTAAAGATCCTATGGCACTGCAATTCTTATCCCACCGTATTGGCCAACCATCTTCCAAATAAATTTGTGCTTCACTTCATGATTATTGTGGGATGTTCCTGTGTGAAAACTGGTTTACAAATATAGTCACTATACATTGACAATAATTACCCATGAAACGTTTTGAGATGTTTAAATGTTATAGCAAATGCAAGGATTATTATGTACACAAAACTAGAGGCTTCCAGGAGGAAATGTTACTCATCTCAGAGCTTCTACTGCCAATTATAGTTTCAGACTTGTTTTGTTCAAATCCCTCAGGTGGCAGTTTAGCCCAGTTGGTGGCACTCTCACCTCCAAATCAGAAGGTTGTGGCCTCAAGCCCAAGTTGGGACTTAGAACTTGCAATCCAGGCTGACAATCCTCTTTCCCCAAGTCACCTACCAACACCCCCATGCCTCTTTCATCACCTTCTCCTCCTACACGGTTTCTACCGTGGCCCAACCCTACACTCCTTTGCCCCCATCTCTCCCTCCCGCCTTTCCCTCACCAGGTGAAGCCTACCATCTGCTGCCTCGACCCCCACCCAGCTTCTGGTAACTCAACTCCCCCTCGTCTTCCCACTGCTGACTGACAAAACTAATCAGTCCCTCTCCTTAGGCTCTGCCCCACTCCCACCTCAAAACCACTATAATCACTACTCGTCTTAAAAAACCTAACCTCAATCCCGCCAACCTCATAAACTTCAGACTCATTTCAAACCTGCCCTTCCTGGTAAAAGTTTTGGAACACATCATTGAAAATCAACTTTGCTCACACCTCTCCCTCCACTCCCTACTCAGACCCCTCCAGTTCATTTTTTGCTCTGCCCACAGCACAGACACAAACCTTATCAAAGTAACAAATGAGGTCCTCTCTCTGTGACCAGGGCTCCCTCTGCCTCCTTGTGGTCCTCGACCTCTCTGCCGAGTTCGACAGTCGATCACAACAAATTATACTTATAAAGCACCCTTCACATTGGAAAGACATTGCAGGATGCTGGATAGTCAGGGGTGTTTGGACCTGAGCTGGGAGTTGGGGTTCAGGAGGGGTGGAGGGTAGGGGCATTGGGGTTGGAGCATGGCCGAAGGCATGGTCGAAGAGGAAGGTTTTTAGATGGGACTTGAAGGAGGCAAGAGAGGGGGTGAAGTGGAGGGATTGCGCGATAGAGTTCCAGAGTGTGGGGACGGAGATGCTGAATGCCCGACCACCAATTGTGGGGTGGGAAGTGCAGAATACCTGAAACAGGCCGGTAAGTGAACAGAGCAGACAGATTAATATGGGGTTAGGAGATTGGAGAGATAGGCGGGAGCAAGACTGTGGAGGGCTTTGAAGGTGAGAACAAGGGTTTTGTACTCGATTCTCTGAGGGATGGGGAGTCAGTGAAGCCGGGCAAGAATTGGGGTCATTGGTTCGCGGAGCCAGGTGCGGGAGAGGACACAAGCTGCAGAATTTTGAATAATCTGCAGCTTGTGGAGGGAAGAGTTGGGAAGTCCAACGACCAGTCAGTTGGCGTAGTCAAGCCAGGACGTGATGAAAGCATGGCTCAGGGTCTCAGCAGCCTGTGGTGGGAGGCAGTGATAGGCAATGTTGCGGATCAGGCCATCCTGTGGAGTCTTGTAGCTCAGTGGTTAGAGCACTCGCCTTAACAAGTGAGAGACCTGGATTTGATTCTCTGGCAGGGCAAAACATTCGGCAAGTTTCCTTACCCAACATGCCTCTCTGTTAACCTAGCAGGAAGAAGGAACCCAGTTGTTAAGTCAATTGGCGGATCACTTTTCCGGGGGTAATAATTCCTTCAAAAAATAATAATAAATTGGTCACTCAATCCACGACTGATTGTGGGACACTGCTGTGCTTAATTAGCTGCCGTGTTTCTCCCACAAAATATAGTCAATTCACTTTACAGTATATTCTGTGAAGCGCTTTGAGACGTCTCGGAAGACGTGATAAGGCTCAATATCAAATGCAAGGATTATTATCCTCCTCAACCTCCTCTCCTCCCTCATCCATCTTAGTGGGACTGCACTTGGATGGTTCAAGTCCTACTTAACCGCCAACAATGCATCTTGGCAAATGGTTTTATCTCCTGCCCCCGCCCGGTCACCGGCAGGGAACCCCAAGGCTCCATCCTTGGCCCCCCCCCCTCTTTTCCTTATCAATATGCTCCCCCTCGGCGATGTCATCTGCAGGTATGGGGCTAACTTCCACATAGAGCTGGGAGTTTCACTTAGAAAAGTATGGTTTAATAAAGGCAAATCATGTCTAACAAACCTGATAAGAGTTTTTTGATGAAGTAACACACAGGGTGGATGAAGGTAGTTTGATAAAGTGCCACATAAGTGACTTGTAAGCAAAATATTCATATAAATGTAAATTTGTTGTCCAATTATTTTCCTGATGTTCCTCTCCACTGGTCTGACTTCTTTCTGGGTGCAATTCCACAGTTGCTGGTTGACTTCCGATATCCAGCCCAAATGAACATTGTTCATGTATGAGCCTTAGCAATGAGTGTCATCAGGAGCCCCTCAACTCTAGAGAGCATCACAGCAAAGCCTGACCTGTACCCATCTGGTTGCCACACATGCGCACAGCCAGTGGAGCACCACGAGCTTTTTCCCCTTTTGAACCTTGGTTCCAACACAATAATCTCTTGACACAGGCAGTTATGCAATAGAACTTGCTAGGTTCAGCGATGTATGTTAAGGACGGTGTTAAATTTCTCTACAGAAACAGATGCTATAATTTAGTGGTTCTGCTTATTTGGACACAAACAGAACCATCTGCAATAAATACCAAATTACCTTGGAGCTGGGTCTTCAAACAGGTTTTATCCCTCCTTTGAGTTGTATATACTTTCAGGCTCCAAATTCATTATTCTGTGGATGTCAGAGTTTCAAAATACAGATGGCTCATTGAATGTACACAAGTTTACCGACAATAAGCAAGTTGAAGAGAATTGGGAAGATCTGAATGAATGCTTACTATTTCTTTTGCTTTGAATTCGGGCATGACATTCATCGCAAGTGCAAAAGTTGTCGATTTCCACAGTATCGCAAATCAATTGTACTGTTCTGAACACATACTTATTTAATGGAGAACATTTGTCAAGATACATCCTAAAGAAAGAATAAGGAGTGTTATATTGCATTACCAATAAAAAGAACAGATACAAGTAATACAATTCAAATCTTCTTCCCAAGAATATCAGATTCAACATTACAAGTCCTGCCTCTTTGGCTGCACTTCTGGATCTTTCCTCTCCCGTCCCTCTCAGCTCCCATGCCCAGCTTGTGAGCCAAGCCAGTGTTGTTAAGCAAGTTGGGATATCCTCCTGACATGAAAGGTGCTATATAAATGTAAATGTGTATTGTATTGTACTCCCCCAGTCTTTGGGAACCACTTTTGCTTGAAAATCATTTCACCTTGTGACCTACAGGATTCATATCTCGCAAGTAACCTGCATATTATGAAGAATTTATATTGTTACTTTAAATGATGTGAATCAGATACATTTACCAATGGAAACAATAAGGATTCAAAAATAATTAATAACTCTGTGGCAGCTGTTGACTGTTGATCTTTAAGTGCTTTGAATATTTTGTGCCCTAGATCAGATCATTACCTAACTTGTAAGCAGAAAGTGACCAGTAACTATGAAATCAATAGAAAACCTAGTCAAATTAAGAGCAGGTTAGATGTTTTATGAAAAGAAACATTTTACTCATGTTGTGAAAACATTTGATGTCTATTTTTTACATTATTAAATCTGAAGAACAAAACTGAAGATAACGTCACAAATTAAAAACAGGAAGTGACCTTGTACAAAATGGTCACAAACACTTCACACAAATACATTATAACCTTCTAAATATACACTGAGTTGCTCGGAGACACACCCACCAGATAAGTCGCAATATGCGAGCACCACTAAAAATCTTAAGAGGATATACACGAGTCACTATGAAAATGTAAATTCAATTTATTTTGCACTGAAGGAGCTCCATCCAGCTCAATTCAACAATACAGCAAAATCTGAATACAGTGGCCACCTTGATGATTAAACTCAACTGGTTCTTTATGTCCGTTGCCTCAGATGCTAAACACCAAAATGCTATAACCTAACCACAACCAGCGTGTTGTTCTTTTAAGTTATATTGGCTGTGTTTGAGGGGGATGTTTAATTCCTGCTGTGAGCTTACCTGTATTGCTAACATACTATTTTCACCAATAACTGTGATTTTGGTAATGGGATGGTTACTTGGAATTCAGGTGTAAACTGCAGATTGAGCTCAATTCAATTAGAAACCTCTCATTTGTGATTTCATTGGACCTTCAGTTTGATTACCACTACTCCAGTTGTGGTGCAGATCAGCAATCCGAATCCTATGTCAGGTATCCATCATTTGAAGTTTACAATTTACAAAAATGGTTTATAAATTCTTTTCAATAACTGAACAATGTCCACATCAAGTACAGTCATGGGAAGGTATTTCTGAATAGACACATTTTACCATAATTGTGTAAAAGCAGAGCTCAAATGATTTAATAAAATTAACATTTGGCAGGAACATTGCAACTTATCAATCCCTTTTCAGCATATTATTGGCTAAATACATTGATAATTCAGAATACCAGATAAACACAAAAATGATTGTATTGAAGATTATGAATACAAAAATGTATTTCTACAGATCAGAATACCACCATATAAACCATGTATTCTTTTCTAAATTACATTATGTATTTTGATTCATTGATTTATTGAAGAGAATTTCAGTTGACTACAATGATATAAAACCAGTGCAGTAAACAGGAAATCAATATTGGCACATGTTGCAGATCACCTCTGTAAAAATACCACATCTTCTGCTGTACTCCATTCTAGTTTTGAAACAAATTAACTGAAAAGCACAAATGCTTCTGAAAGAATGTTCGTTCTAGTGGTGATTTTGATTCAAATTCAGTGTTACGTGCCTTGGGGGAGGGAGGGAGTGGTTGGGTCAGGAGGTAGGAAAATTTAGATTCTTGAATTCTCCTGTTCTGGAATACTCAACCAAAAGTGTCAGGAGTGGATGACGAAAGATAATGCCATGTCATCAAAAACATAATTGTAAATAAAATAAGTTAAGGATTCCTGGTATTAAATAAATGTCTCACATAAAGTTCAAGTTGTAAGAATACATTCAGCAAATCTACAAAAAATAACCTTAAAAGAAATGAGAATAGAAAGAGAAATTTGACACAAAAATATTGCACAAGATTAGTGGCCAATGTGTATATCTCTGTTAGATCTTACAGTGAAGGTTTCACAACAGAGTTGCAGTTTAGAAACAGAGGACCACAGCTAGGTTAGTAGCAAATTATTAAATAGGCAGTATTTTAGCTCAAACATCAATATATAGTGCCAAGTTGCTCCTTTATGCATAATGACATCAATGAGTGAGCTTTCACATGACAGTGAATAAAATATTGAGCTGACTCGTGTTTTAAGAATAATTATGCAATGAGTGCCAGAGTTAACATTATTAACAAGTACTCAAATAAGTTTTTAAACAATGAAAACATTTGAGGTTTTACATAAATTAACAAAAGGGGAAAGTATAAAAGAGAATATGCAAAGATTAATTAATTCTATTTTCTCCCCGACTCCATCAGTATTGTGAAGCGAAACATTTGAAGGCATTCCTTCATACCAGCAGTGCTTTGCAGTACCTGCTAATCAGAAGTGCTATCATTTTCTTTCAATGCTACGCACTCCAGTGTGCACCATTTCATTGCTTTTATTTTGCCCCTTCAGCCAACAGACCATTGTCCCAGATTTCAACTCTGTGAAGCTGACAATGTTTCTAGGGATCACTAGTCTTCCTTCCACAGAAGTGGTAAAAGTGTCACATATTGAATTAAACAACCACACTACGAGGTAAGTTTAGAATAACTGGGTGGAGAGAATTTGCGCTTCAAGTACTTGAGAATATAAAGAGGAAGACAACTGACGAGGGTTATCGCTGACACTTTCCACAGGAAGGTCACAGTGATGATAAAGGTGACATCTATGAAACAAGCAATCGTATAACATTAAGTGAAATATTTGCATGCCTATCAGCTGATCACTTTAATAAAGTACAGTAAATCCAATGACAAAAAGGAAGCAGACATCAACTTTTCTCAACTCAATAAATGTGAACTGCTAAACACAAAAAAGTGATTAAATTATAATCTTATAATAATTCTTGCATTTTGATATAGCGGCTTATCACGTCTTTGAGATGTCTCAAAACGCTTCACAGAATATACTGTAAAGTGAATTGACAGTATATTTTGTGGGTAAAACTCGGCAGCCAATTGTACATGGCAATGCCCCACAAACAGTCGTGGATTGAAGTGACCAAATTATTATTATTTTTCAAGGGATTATTTCCCCCGGAAAAGCGATCCGCCAATCAACTAACTGCTAAGTAAAAAGAAATGTGTGGAGTAAGGAAACTTGCCTAACTTTTCGCCCTGCCCTGGATCGACCCAGGTCCTCTCGCTTGCGAGGCAAGTGTTCTAACAAATACGTTACAGGACTCCAATTATGAGAAGTTGGGCAAATTTTGATTTTATTCCCTCAGCTAACAGGGTTCACTGGTTAGCTGATAGAAATGTTTAAATGCTAAAAGGATTTCAAAATGTAGATGAAGGGAAACTGGTTCCTTTGGTAGGCAAATCCAGAACAAGAGGTTTTACAGCACATACTGTGATGTGCTTTCAGATAGCACAACACGTGATAAAGCGCTATATCAAATGCAAGGATTATTAGAATAATCTTAAAATTACACCAATTAAGAGTGATATCAGAGACCATTTTTCACGCATAAGGTGACCTTATCACTCCCACTCTCGCCCAGCTCCACTGGCTCTCCATCCCGCAGCAGATAAATTCTAAATCTTTGTCCTCACCTTCAAGGCCCTCCACGACCTTGCTCGTTCCTACCTCTGGCACGATTTAAATATAAATTATTGTATTATTATTAATTTTCTGCAGACTTGTACTGAAATATTAAACATCAACATTAGCATTTAAGCAGCGTTCTTGGTCCTTCACTTCTGAACGTTTGTAAAATAAACTCAATTTAGCATATAGTTCCTATTTTATGCTGATAAAAACATTTTTACTGCAGCATCCCCTGATTTTACCTGAATTAAGTAAGATTTATTTGTCATATATATAAAACAGAGATCTCAGACCTAACAATGTTCTAGTAATTTTTGAAGCGACTTACCAAAGTACTCATTGAGAAAAGCAAGGGAGGCCACATAGCAGCCAAGGCTGAGGAATTCTGCCACAACCATAAGCCAGTGCCAGGTTCGGACAGTAAGTGCAACCATCAGCAGTTCAGTAAAGATCAGGGCAGTGAAGGAAATAGCAACAACATGTACAAACTCGGATTCAAAGAGCAATAATCCTCCGTACATTAAAATACCACCTAAAACAAATCAAACACAGGAGTTACACTTCAACACTTTCAAGGGCTGACAAATGAATTGAGGAGTGTAAACTGGAAGGGAAAGCTAGATAGCAAATTAACTGACAAAGAGTGGGAACTAGTCAAAGAAGAAATGGAGGCATTACAAAAGAAGTACATACCAATGAAAGGCAGAAGTGGTGGTGTGGGATAATACAGCCATGGTTTACAAATATGGTGAAAGCTAGTATTAAGCAAAAAGAAAATGAGTACAGAAGGGCAAGAGAAAGTGGCAAGACAATAAATAGACTGGGAGAATTATAGGAAACAGCAAAATGGTTGAAAGAAAATGAGCAAAGAGGGATTATGAAAACAACATTGCACATCATATCAAGGGCAACAATAAAGTATTTTATAAATATATTAAGAATAAGAGTGGTCAAGGCAGAGGTTGGTCCACTAGAAACCGATCTGGGCAAAATTGGAGTGGAGCAAAGGGAAATAGCGGATCAACTAAATAATAATCCTTGCATTTGATATAGCGCTTTTCACATCTTCTCGACGTCTCAAAGCGCTTCACAGAATAGACTGTGAAGTGAATTTGTGGGTGAAACGCGGCAGCCAATTGCGCACAGCAATGTCCAACAAACAGTCGTGGATTGAAAATGACCAATTTATTATTGTTTTTTTTGGAGGGATTATTATTAGGCGTGTGGAGTAAGGAAACTTGCCCAAGGTTTCGCCTGCCTGGAATTGAACCCAGGTGAATACTTCGAGTCTGCCTTCACAGTGGAGAATGATGGTGTGAAACCAGCAAAGGTACATCACAATAAAAATGAACGAGAGAAACTCAATGGGATTAAAATAAAATGAAAAACCACTGGCACTCAAGGAAGATAAATCTGCAGAAGAGTGACGAAGTTGCAGATGGTCATAATACCTTTTCAAAGTTCTCTGAATTTAGGAATTACGTATGCCTGTGCATTCAAAGAAACTTGATGAGAGAAAAGGTTAGTGGAGTCTGGGAGAGGGGATTGGGAGGGGTGGAGACTCATTTGGAGTATAAACATTAATATTGACAAGTTGGGCTGGCGGGCTTCCTCAGGTATCAATGTTAGATCCACAGATATTAACAATATATACAAATGACCTGGATTAACGAATAGAGGGCTGTATATCCAAGTTCATTGGTGACACTATGCTGAGGCAAAAGTTAATAATGAAGGAAGCAAAAAAAATTGCAACAGGATATACAGATTATGTAAGTGGGTTGAGCTATGGCAAATCAAGTTTAATGTGACAAAATATGAAGTAGTGTTTTAACAATGAAAAATACTTTCTGAATGGGTAGCATGAGGTGGGATGGATAAGGCAAGAGGATCTCAGTGTTCAAGGAACCAAAACTAGTCAAAATTACCATAAGAGAGTTGAAATATAAAACAAGGGGGCATAAAATGAGGGAGTAATGTTACAGTTGTAGCTCCAACTTTTAGAGTTGTAACATTACTAGTTCTACCTTGTTTGGAGTATTATGTGCAGTTTGGGGTACCTTATGATGCAGCATAGATTTACCAGAATGCTATTTGGATTGAAGAGGCCATTATGAGGAAGAATGGACAAACTAGGGCTGGACTGCATTGAGCAGAGGAAGTTGAAGGGGTGACGTGTTAAGATGGTAAAGGGGATGACAGAATGGACTCTGGTGTATGGTTGTAGAATCCAGATCAGGATGGCATATTCTAAAAGTTAGAGCTAGATCTATAACTAGTGAAAATCAGAAGGCATCTCTTTACTCAGCGATTTCCCTTCCTCAAAGGACTGTTAATGCTGCTATTCAATGAAAATGTTTAAGAGAGAAGTAGTTAACTATTTGGCTAGTGAAAGTATTGGAATGCAGAATATTAGGAATAATATTTGCTTTCCAAGTATTGAGAAAATGGTAGAGCAGTCTTGTCAGGCTGAATGGTTTACTCCCATTTCTATGTATCTTTCAGACCAAGCCAGTATGGACAATATCAAAGACAATAATCTGAACGCCAAGATGTAAAAAAATCTCAAACTAACTGCACAAAAATACATACTATATAAGATTTAATGCATTAATATACATTCTGAATCAAGATAATTTTAGGTTTAGGATTCATAATCTGAAAACTAACTACTCACTGACTGTGTGCTATTTAGAGTGTTGGTTTACTGATGCTCCACACTGGTAAAAGGTGAGTTTATGAATAGGTTTCCTCCATCTTCTACCACTGTTTGGTGGTTCTGCGATACCGTAAGGTTGTGAGAGAAACAGCCCAGATACATCACATTAGGGTAAGAATATGAATACCCCACACATAGACGGTCAGAATACGAATACCCCACACATAGACCTCCTGCTTGGAAGAGTTGGTAGAGGTAGTATAGCTGAAGTGGGGCAAGGTCCAGTTGTATGCTACAATTGCGCTAAATTTACACCGAAATGGTTATCAAAATGGTATGAAATAAACGGGCAATTACAGAACAACATCATCAAAATTTTCTAGTCATGTCTAGTCATTCCCTTAAGATCTCTGCAGAACGGTGGAGAGATCTTAAGGGAATGAGAAACTAAAAATAGGCAGCAAAAAAATAGATCTTTATGAATTAATCGGTTTTAATTGTGGATGAATGGTTTCCCGCTCTAACAGAGAACACTTTTTTTTCCATTTGGTGATTCTGGGTCAATTGTACAAGATCATTTCTATGATGTGCTTATGTTGACTGGGCTCATTTTGAGTCAAAGAAAAGTAATTAAATAAGTTTCTTCCAAAATGAGCCGAGGAGACAAAAAAAGGGAAGACAAGTGAAAGATAGAGAAGCTAGAAAAAGGTAGAACATTTAGAAAAAAATTTTACAATAAGGAGAAATTAGGTTGAATGGGTGGCAAATAGGTACAATGAAAAGTTAATAGAAAAAGAGAACGCTAAATAAAGATGAGAACATAAAATGGATAATAGTTGCATACTGATCAAGATTTAAAAATTATTCATACTTTCCAATGTCTTAAATTTATATTATGATTTTTTATCACTAACTAAGCAGTTCCCATTGTTTAAGTAGCTTCAATACTGAAATGTTAAGATTTTATTGAGATGATTTGTTGTTACTGAATTAGAATCATCCAGCCTGATGATGTTTAAATAGGAGCATTTAGAATCATCAATTTCTAAGTGATAAATTATATAGAGGGTTACATTTTATATTCTTTGTTCCACTTCAGCATGTGCAGCAGTAGGTTTTATTTTTTCCTGAGTTTTCTCGTGTGAAATCCATTAAATGCCAGACAGGGCTCCTAATTCCTTGATTCCAAGGCAATTCCAAAGCACCTTGATCCAACGCAGCTACATGAGCAACATATTTAACATGAATTGTTTATAGTAGATGAATATTACCACAGAATCACAGATGTTTAGATTTTGTCTTGTAGAAGGCCATTCAGCCCATTATGTCTATGCCAGCTCTTTTAAAGAGTAATCCATTCAGTCCCATTTGACCTGCCTTTTCCCATAACCCTACAGATTATTCCTCTGTAGATATCTATTTAGTTCCTTCTTGAAAGCTCATATGGATCCCACCTTCACCACTGTTCATACATTCTAACATGTAAAATAAATTCTCCTAATCTCCCTCTTTGCTCCCTTGCAAATCATTCTTGAATTTATGTCTTCTGGTCACCAACTCACCAAACAGTGAAATAATTTCACCCCATCAGAATCTCTCAATGTTAAAGAATTCTATCAGGTCTCTAACTTTCTTGGTCCTGATGAAAATAGTCCCAGTTCCTCTCTTCTCTGGTTACAGGTCAATCCACTCACTCCTAATATCAAAATAAATCTCCTCTGTACCGTCTCTATTTCTTTGACTTTCTTCCTAAAGTGTGGGGGACCAAAACTGGACAATAGACCAACTGCAGTCTTATTCCGCTTCTCATTCAATTTCCACTATTGTAATAATAATAATCTGTGCATTTGATATAGCGTCTTCGTACGTCTTTGAGACATCTCAAAGTGCTCCATGCGCTTAAAGCGCTATTGAAAATGCTTTGTTGAGCCTGAATATAAAATCTAGATTATAATTATTTGAAATACAAATTCTCAATTTTCATTGCCACTGTTGTTTTGACTGGCATATTTTGGTACTACTAATGGGGATATTTTCTGAAAATTCATAGAATTTTTCTATATGATAAACATCTTTTTAAAAAATTTATGAAGGGCAACATTTGTTTTGTTAATGTTAGAATGCAAAGATGCTTTGGGATGAACAACATTTGGTGATATTCAGGAAGGACTCACTCTAATTATAAGCCAATTAAAATTTTATTTGGTTCAAATTTGGAAAACTGTAAATAGAACCAAACTACTGTGTATAAATTAATTCAGATTTCAATTTCATTTGTTCAACTGAGAAACATAATACTGTGAAATTCTTAACAGGAAGCAAAATTCTTGTCGTACCTTGATATACACTTATTAGAACCCAAATAAGAAATGTCTTGAAGGATAATGAACGCCCCTGAAAAAAAAGAAAATCCCAAATTAACTATTTTGTCTTTATAACAGCGGTATATTATTTAATCTCTACGTTGCTTATTTTTGTATAAATCGCTCCTTAATTCAGTGGTGAAATAGAAAAGAAATCCTCATTCAAGATTTTCTTGTGCTCTTTTTTGCATCATAAAGTGTGTTCCTGCATAGAGATTGGGAAGACAAATAGAGAGGGTGCAAGGAATACTGGTTAAGGGAGGGTGTCCCAGAGGATAGCTCAGAAGTGAACAGTGCTCAATATCAAACTTGTATTAAGAGGTGGGTTGGTAATGAACAGATGTACTGCTAAAATGGACCATCACAACCGTTTTAACTGGAGGAAATGAGAATTCATATTAGTAGGCTTTCAAAATAATCTCATCCAATATGTACAAACTGACTTTTTGTAAATTTAAATACGAAACATTCAGTAAAATTACCAAAACATTCAGCGCCACAACATTTATTGATAAAATAATTTTACATTTTGCTATTTAAGAGCATCCTTTAGTATCCATGGAATTAACATCACAGGATACAAATATCTGGCAAAGATTACGCTTATAGAATGACGAAATGGTCTGGCCACAAATTACAATTCTTGAGTTACAAAATAACAATTTCAGAATAAACACTCTTCCCTCAGAGGGACACACCCCACGTAACTAATTCCAGAGAGCATTGGGTGCAGGTTGGCAGGAGCCAAGGCTTGGGGAATCCTGGAGTGTATGTTTGGGGTATGCTTCTGGCAAGCTTTCCCACTGTTTGTCTGCCTAGAACCACCTGACCCATTAGGGCTTTGGCTTGCGGGGTTAATAATAATAATCTTTGCATTTGATATAGCGCTTTTCACGTCGGGAGGACGTCCCAAAGCGCTTCACAGAACACACTGTAAAGTGAATTGACTGAATATTTGTGGCGAACGCGGCAGCCAATTGCGCACAGCAATGTCCCACAAACAATCGTAGATTGAAAATGACCAATTTATTATTGGTTTTGGTTTTGGTTTTATTATTAGGCGTGTGGAGTAAGGAAACTTGCCCAAGGTTTCGCCCTGCCTGGAATTGAACTCAGGTCTCTCACTTGCAAAGCGAGTGCTCTAACCACTGAGCTACAGGACTCAGCTTAATGGGAGCTGAGTGGGGAGAAACCCTGCTCGTAGTTATTTTTCTGCCCCTCCAAATCCAAAAATCAGAGCAAGTCTTTTGCAAGTTTGAAACTCTTACAGCACTTAACCTTTAAAGATTGACAATGTGCAGCACATGATTGTACGCTATTGTGTGAAGCTGCCAGTATGTAACTCACCTTTGTGAGGTCTTTGTAAAGCTCTGGATATAATATTGCTGTTTCTGGCTTTACATCTTGGTCTAATACCAGAGAAAAAACAGGAAACATAGTGTAGATGGTAGCATACCTAGTGGAAAAAGAAAGGAAGAAGTCATCAACTTCTTAATGGAACTCTATTTTTATAGTGCCCAAGATGAAAATTAAACTTTATATGTTGGCATGACTAGCCAAACAAATTTTGCAAATGCACTTAAGTGTTTTATAATCTCACTTACCCTACCATGAGGAAACCCTGATACAATGGAACAGATGCAAAGTAGAACACGGATGAAAATACAGCCTGAGGAAAAAAAGCAAAGGAAAAATACCATTAAATGATTAAGTGAACACCCCACAATCCCACTGAATCTGGACTGCTCTCACTAACTCTGACATCCTTCTTGCAATGGGGTGCCTTAAACTAAAAGCCTAACTGACATCCTAGATACAGTAATTGCAACACGGCTTTCCTATTTTTATATTCATTGCCCGATTCATAAATTCGCAGGCCCTCATTTGACTTCATGAAAGCTTTTTGTGACCATCTCACATGCATTTGTGCTCCCACATCCCTCTGATTCTTCACTCTACCGAGTTTTCTATAATCCTCATATTTGATAATACAGTACCTTGTCACACTGTCGAAATGCCTCATTGCACTTCCAGTATTTTACTGTGAATGTAGTAACTGCATTTATAGGTGAATGCAGCAGTCAATTTATGGACTGTAAAGTCCCACAAACAGTTATGAAGTGAATGACCAATTTTATTTGGAGGATTGTGGGCCAGGACACTTCTCTTTTTGAATAGTTCCAAGGAATTTTTAATCTCCACCCGGACAGGCAGATAGGATTTCTGCTTAATGTGTCTTCCAAAGAACAGCATCTCTGACAATCCAGCACTTTCTCACCAGTGTCAACCAGGATTATGAGCTCAAAGTCCTAGTACAATACAAAATTACACTTGTATAGCACCTTTCATGCCTGGAGGACATCCCAACGTGCTGGACAGTCGGGACCTGAGCTGTGGGGTGTTGGGTGTGGGGGTAAGGGAGGGTGGAGAGCAGGGAGGGTATGGAGTTCCAAAGGGTGGTGGGGAGAGGCTGAAGGTCCAACCCGCCGATGGTTGGGTGGGCTGGGCAGGGGACGTGTAGCAGGCTGGAGCCTGCTGATGGAGAGGTTGATAAAGGGTTAGCAGGTCACAGGGGTAGGATGATGATTTTGATTATGATGGTAATTATTTGTGAAGCACTTAGAAGTTTCATCATAAGACTATAAAAAAAATTTAAAAAAAACTTTTTTTAACCTGGAAAACCTGAAATTTTTGGCAACAAACAAAACGCTTCTTGCAGTTTTTGGTAATCAAATAAAACATTTATTAGCAATTTTACACTCTTCTTCCTCGTCCGCCCTGCCTCTCGCTCCCCCACCCACCCCCACAGCAGCAATAATAATAATCCTTCAATTTGACATAGCGCTTTTCACATCTTCTAGACGTCTCAAAGCACTTCACAGAATATGCTGCAAAGTGAATTGACCGTATATTTGTGGGCAAAACGTGGCAGCCAATTGCGCACAGCAGTGTCCCACAAAAGTCGTGGATTGAAAATGACCAATTTATTATTGTTTTGTTTTGGAGGGATTATTATTAGGTGTGTGGAGTAAGGAAACTTGCCCAAAGTTTCATCCTGCTGGAAGCTATGGTGGGTGTTTTGAAGAAACCAGACATCACGTTACCTGCATAGTGGAGATGATAAGGCCTCTGTGGATGACAAACTGGCCGAGTGCCGCTGATCGCTTATAACTGTTTCGACCGTGCACCATCAGTAGCCTGCCGATGTGCTTAAACTGGGTAATGGAGAAATCTGCTGCCAAGGAGGCCTGCTTACCTTCCTAAAGGTTAAAAAAAATACAATTCTTAACTAAAGAAAAACTAGAGTGGAACACAGTGGCTAGGCTCCATACATTCCCCATGCTGTAACGTGGTGCAATCGCTGTTAAGTGTTTCAGCATTCACTGCGCAGGGGTGCAGTAAGACAGGGCTACATTGGAAGCATCAAAAAGCCAGCAGTGGCAGGAAGTCAAAAGGGCTGACGTCTCATTCATTCACATGAATTTTGGATTTTCAGAGGATGAATGTCAGGGTCCACACCCCTACTGATAACAAACCCACGTTATAATGGGGTTTTAGTGTATCACTTAGCAAGGAGAAAAAACAGCTTCAAGCAATAAAAACATCAAAAATCTTGTGTAATATATAAAAACATTTTACTGTGAATTTATCTTAGGTTATCCTCTATAAATATCCAATGCCTTCTTTGAGTTTCTCACAGTCCTACTTTTAAATAATGAGCACTTTTCATTTTTTTGTCTGGGTTCTACTTTCTTGTTTTCACTGTGTTTAATAACATTTCAATGATGCAGGAATATTAGATTCCTTAAGGACCTGTTATGCATTTGATAATATAGCAAGATTACTGTTTGTTACCTTTCCTACAATTCCAATTCCACAGTCTGCTGCTTGGATCATGCTGACATCATTACCTCCATCACCTGCAAAGAAATACAAAATGGTAAAAGGAAAACAAATCTTGCATCAAACTGTTGTGCAAACATCAAAATTATCTAGAGCAAAAGAACACAACTGTTTCAAAGTGAAACAAATCTAGTACTACATTATTTAGCTTCAGCTTTGATTTTAACCACTGAAGGCTTACTACATAATTATAATATATACAGCGCCCAAAAAAATCAACAGGAATAGACACATTGCTGACCAACATGTTAAAGGAACTGTGAGCTGAATTTTCAACTAGAGATCATTATATTTTGCATAACACAGATGACAATTTTTATTTCAAAATCCTTCAGACCTTACTACCAGTTCTGTAAAAATCATACACACTTATGATAAAGAACAACAGCTGTTCCTTTGCTAAGGAAAAGCATAAAATATCATTTATTACTACCTAATCTCTTTTAAAAGGCAAAAAGAAACAATCCTTAGCAGGCCTGCCATTTTATACAACTGTTGGGATATGGAACTCTTCCAATGAACCTGCTCCAATTTCTCAAAAAAAGGTAAGGATGAGTGAAACACAATGAACTACTATTGCATTAGATACTGTACCCATTGTGCTCAATGCAAGATTGATAGACTTCCATGAATGCTGCACTAACAAAGAAATCATTGCAGTAAGTTCAGGTAAATTGATCTCTTGAAGACTCTCGTTTTCGGGACCAAATACTGCCATCAAACAGAGGACAGATTTCCCAGTTCACTGAAATCTGGGAACTTCTCAGAAGCAAGCACACTAATCTCAGAAGTACATGTTGTGGCAAGACCTCTTTGTTTGGGTCCAAATGTAAGAGTCTACATGCATCATGTCCTACCTTAGCTCAAGTAAAGTCTTCTATTATTGATGAGAAAGCTGGAGTGTGCTGAGGATCTATTGCATAGCTGTGTGAGTGGCCCATCAAGAACAAGACCAGTCATTAAACATACAGTCTTGAGCTGAGCTGTATAGGACATTTTGCAATTATCCTGGATACAAAACAAAGTACTGAAATATGTACCTGAGATATGACTGAAAGAGGTTAATTGTGGCCAGCCATCTCTGACTGTATTTGGTGGATCGCCTGAAGTAGAGTTACCATATTCTCTAGAATATAGAAGAATTAGAGGGGATCTTATAGAAACCTATAAGATCATCAACGGGCATGACAGAATAGATAGTGGGAGATTGTTTCCCCTGGTTGGAGAAACTAAAACCAGGGGTCACAACCTTAAAATCAGAGGCCAGCCCTTTTGCACTGAGTTGAGGAAGAATTTCTTCACTCAAAGGGTGGTGAATGTATGGAACTCACTACCCCAAAGGGCTGTTGACACTCAGTCCTTGAACATATTCAAGACTGAGATAGATATATTTCTTATTGCAAAAGGGATTAAGGGATATGGGGATAAGGTAGCGTCAGGTTATTAGCTGGAGTTAGATTAGAAGATCAGCCATGATTGAATGGCGGGACAGGCTCGAAGGGCTGAATGGCCTACTCCTGCTCCTACATGTTATGTTACTCTACTACATTGAACTTTCATTCTTCAGAACTTGTTCAGATGTCTTAAATCAAGTTTAGTATCATAAATCCTTGACATCTGTGGTTTAATGAAATACCGTGAACAAAGTTAGGCCCTTATTTTTTAGCTGGATCTTCCTCCTGCTGCTCAATTAGATTCAATAATCAGTCTCAAATATGAAACTGTATTGAGCACAACCTTAAGTGTTGAGCTTCTAAATTCCACAAAACATTATAACCTATTCTTGGAAATACCAAAGACATGCTTGGCATGATAAGAAGAGAGTAATCTACAATAGATGGTGGCTGACATGTGGGGCATTCCTAAAACAGCCTCAGAAAAGGAAAACTTGTAAAAGGGCCAATCTCCAAAGTACAGTAGTGCCACAGACTGTAGTAGGCAAAAGGATCTTTTTTCATTAGCTGATGGAGTGTGAGGAGAAAAGTTGACCTTCCAAGCGTGAGTCATTTGGTGAATCACATATTGAAGCCAGAACAACTACTGCCAGAAGTGGAATCTGGGTTTACAGGAGAAATGTATACCATGCCTCCTGTCAATGCACATCTAGGAGCAGAGGGTGAGTCAGCAAAAGATCACAGTTAACTCATGTCTGTGCACTTTCTATTGTTCAAACAGTTAATGCCGAATGGTGCCCACCTGAGGGAGACTGTCCAGTTAGTGCTGATGAGTTATTTGCTGACTGGCCTGATTTTTTTNCTGCATCTCCTGATACTGATTACCTTTCAGAATTATGAATGCGTGTCTAAACTACAGTATGTAGAATAGTTACCACTGGCACTGAAGGAGAGGCGGAGTCAGATGCAGCACTGCTCTCCAGCCCACTCCTGGACAGAATCAAAGAAAACAACAACAAAATTACATTTGAATAGCCCCTTTCAGGTCGGGAGGACATCCCAAGGTTCTGGATAGAATTTTGGACCTGAGCTGGGCGTTGGGATCAGGGAGGGTGGAGGGCAAGGGGGAAAGTAGGGTGAGCGAAAGCACTGTCAAAGAGGAGGGTCTTGATATGGGTCTTGAAGGAGGCAAGGGGCGAGGCGGAGGAACTGTGGAATGGAGTTCCAGAGGGTAGGGGCAGTGTGGCATAAGGCCCAGCCACCAATAGTGTGGCAAGTGAGGCAGGGGATGTGAAGTAGACCGGAGCCCACTGAGCGGAGGGAGCGGGCAGGATGGTAGGGATTTAGGAGTCGCAGAGGTAGGGGAAGCAAGACCATCAAGCGCTTTGAGGGTGAGGACCAGGATCTTGAACTGTATCCTCTGTGTGATGGGAAACCAGTGGAGTTGGGCGAGGATGGGGGTGATAGGGTCACGGAGCCTGGTACGAGAGAGGACAAGCAAGGAATTTGCATAGTCAAGCCTCGATGTAATGAAAGCATGCATGAGGGTTTCGGGGGCCTGCGGTTTGAGATGGTGGCAGAGCCGGGCGATATTTCGGAGGTGGGGGAAGGCAGAGTGTGTCATGGCGCAGATGTGGGGTAGAAAGGATAGTTGAAGGTTAAACAAGACCCCAAGGTTCCGGACTGGCTCAGTGAGATGGAGTGTGCAACCATGGAAGTTGATGCTGTCAGGGCCTGAGGTGAGAAGGTGCAGACGGGAGTCAATCAGGAGAGCCTCGGTCTTGTTGACGTGCAACTGAATAAAATCAGCTCTCATCCAGGGCTTAATGTCTGACAGACATTCTGTCAGGACAGCAGTGGGCCTGGAGTCAATGGTGATGGCAAAGAGGCACGGTAAACAAAAGGACTGATAAATCATCCGTCTTTTACCTCTATCCATTGCAATCTTTCCCAATTTTTATTTTGTCGATACTGTTCATGTTCAAAGTTACTTTACATTTCCTCTCAAGCTACAAGTGCAAGTACAAGATTTACACACTTCCTCTTGTGGCTCAGACAGAATGGGTTGAACGGTCTTTTCTGTGCTGGAAATTTCTCGGTTTCCTCTTTGCATCTTCATTATATTGTAATCAAATCTTTGCTCAGTCTCTGACTCTCAATCTTTTCCAGGATCTCAAGATTGTGAAAACCATTACCTCCTTCAGACTATTCGATTTTAACATCTATTTCCCATCAGCTTTCCTCACATTTTTCTGGTGTTCTGCACCTTAAACCTTTACCTAAGCTTTGAAACAAAATCCTACGGCCTTAGCTCTCGGTGGGAAAAACAAACACCAAACACAGTACATTTTTGATACACTGGTATCAACAAAAACCCCATAAAGCATTGTGTTGTTTCCTGAATTTGTTATGGAAATGTTCCTTACTCTAGTTGTGTGCAGGAGATGTTGAGCATAAAATATTAACTTTGTGTACACTCAATTCCTGGAAAGTCTCAACGTCATAACTTCTCTCATCTGTAAATTGAATCTTTAATTGAGAAAACAAATATCATTTGATAAGTCCCCTATGACCAAATGGCAGTTCATGATTAGCGCTTTGGAGAACCTCACAATTCTTAATAATGGATCAATCATCCAATTTATTCACTTTCACTTACTAACCAATTCCCTGTCTAGAGAGTCTTTGAATGCTATTTGAGTTTTATACAGAGTGTATTCTATTAATAGCTTATGAAGCTGTTACTGCACTTTTTCCTGTAAACAGAAACCTCAACATAATTGAAGCACTTGGCTGTTACCTCATGCTTTATTTAGCTCTTTGCCCGTTATTGCATTGTGTAACTTATTGCAAACGGTTACGAGGATGCAGGGGTAATATCACAAAAAAGGCAGCATTTTAAAAGAGAGTGAATATAGCACTTAGATTTAGCAAAACAAACAGAAAATGAAATGCGGTTTAGATTGGAATGTTGCATTTTTGGTTCACAATTTAAAGACATCAACTCCTGCTTACCTATTGCACATGTGCGCTTGCCTGTGTGCTGCTGCAACAACTTCACAATTTGTGCTTTTTGTGTGGGAGAACATCGACAGCAGACGACAGCTGGGCACTGGCATGCAAGTTCCACAAACTCATGCTCATAATATTTCAGGCAAACCTAAATGCACACATGAAAGCAGTCAAGAACAATGTCCACAACACCTTCCACGCAATGGTATGCCCTTCAGCAATTTTTCTGACCACTTTATGAGATATAGATGCTGTATGGGCAATGGTATATGGGAAGAGGGGGCATAGTCCTTGATTGGCTATGAAGAAGCAACCATATCATATTATTGAGCATATTTATGCACAAAGTATTTTTATACACAATTTATCAACTGCCGTTGGCTAGCAATTACATTTGAAAATGTTTAAGTTACAGACATGTAAAATCAATGACGATTCTTCTGTGCAGTGACAAAGTGCACAATGGTTCGAAGCAGGATTCACAATGAACTACTCCTAGACAGTAACGGGAAATCCTGCTGCTAATCAGTACATCACATCTGACATGTGGAATCCCTGCTCCCAACAACTGGAAGTAAATTGTGGGGTTCCTGCAAATCAGCTATAACTTGCTAATGGTGACTGAACAGAGTTTTGTACCGCTGCTTTTTTAACCCGAGTAAGTGGGTGCAGGTCAGCAACTATACTTTAATCTAAAAATAGGTTGTTATCTTTAGCGGGATGCACAAAAGGAAATTGCTTTGTAAGAACACCTGCACATAAGTAGTCTTAACTAGTTAGCGCCACTGAAAAATAATAATTTTTGTTAAGTGTCAATTTAACAAACACTAAATGTTGCATTTTATCTGTATATTCTAAAATTGGAAAGATGTGTATTCCAATGCAAGTCTACATCTTGGAAAGAGAAGGAAATATGACAAGAAAAGTCTGGTGCTCATATGGTAGATGCATGCCTCCTGGCGTAAAATCCACGATCCTAGAGATAAAAGTGTCAACATTTCATCCTATCAGTACAGTTGTGCCATTTTAATTATGTGTCTACATGTCACTGCTCTTCATTTCTATACTGATTTTACTCATCACCCCTGCAGGACTGAAAACAATCAATACAAACCAATAATCCTAAAATAATCAGAATTGTCCAATTAAAAACTGTCTTTAAGCATTTATTTATGTCCATTGGTGCTTACTTAACCTGAAGTGGCAAACATTTATCAGCAGTTTCGCCAACAGACAGAATTCCTCCTCATGCCTGGGAAGGTTATGGCTACAACTATAAATTCTGTAGGTTTAGTAGGCACCCCAATTTGGTAAATGCCTGGCACACTGCTTTAGGTATCAGCATCAGCATCCAAGGCTGCACTCTCCACCTCTCAAAGCCAGTCAGGAACCTCGGTGTTCTGTTCGATCCTGAGCTGTCGTTTCCTCATATCCGCGCCACAACTGGCACAGCCTTCCATCACCTCCGAAACATCGCCAGACTACGGCACTACCTCACCCCTCATGCTGCTGAAACCCTGGTCCACGCCTTTATCACCTTAAGGCTGGACTATTGGAACTCTCTCCTCACCGGCCTTCCCGGCACCTCCCTCCACAAGCTGCAGGTCATTCAGAACTCTGCAGCTCGTGTACTGTCCCGCACCAGGCTTCGGGACCACATCACTCCCACCCTCGCTCGCCTCCACTGGCTCCCCATCCCCCAGAGGATCGAATTCAAGATCCTCATCCTCACCTACAAGACCATTCACGGCCTCGCTCCCTCCTACCTCTCCGACCTACCATCCACTTACCTACCTGCCCGCACCCTCCGTTCCTCTGGCTCCGGTCTGCTCCACATCCCCCGCCCCAACCGCCCTACCATCGGTGGCCGGGCCTTCAGCCTCTCAGCTCTGGAACTCCATCCCCCAGTGCCTTCGCCGCCTCCTCCCTTTCCTCCTTCAGGGCCGGTCTCAAGACCTTTCTCTTTGACCGTGCCTTCAGCTCTCCTCTCGACTCTCTACCCCCTCCTCGCCCCCTCCCTTCCCTCCCCTCACCCTGACCATTTCCCCACTGCTCGGGTCCTGACCCAACTGTCCAGTGCCTTGGGACGTCCTCCCGACATGAAAGGCGCTCTATAAAAGAATGTTGTTGTTGTTGTAGGTAGTTACCAGCACTGTCAAATCTGGATCATAAATTTGTGGATTCAAGGCCTATGTTGGGATTTTTGAGCTCGTAGTCTAGTCTAACACTTCAGTTTCTAGGGTTAAATGCCATTGTTAAGAGATTAAACATTTCAGATGAAACATTAAACAGAGGCAGAACAGATGGATGTTAAAGACACTGATACTATTCTAGCCAACAATGCTTCAGATTAATTGTTCGTTCATTCACCTAATGGTTGTTTGTTGGATCTTGCTGGCGCAAATAGGCAAAATAGTCCCTGTACTTGACAAGCATTACCTGTGACGCACTTTTGAGAGATAATTTGACATAAAACCCTAGAAAAACTCAGGTTCACTAATTTAATATACATTGTTGAAATTCTTAGTACAGGAGCTACACCATAAGGTAGAAACATGCCGCTGCAGCATACACTGAGACACCCGGTGTAGACATCTTTGAGATCAATTTTTTGGAAACCAATCTCTCAGATGTACAGCCTGATTAAAATGGACAGTTTAATTATCTTCAACTTCTCTTTTATTAGATACTTGCTGATGTTTGAAGTCTAGGATGGGTAATCCTGTCTATTAGACACTATGTGCTGACAATATATGCTGATTGATCTGCTGTGCATTTACAGCATTCAGTTTTATTTCGGATTTTCAGCATCTGCAACTTTATTTGTATTTTTCATAGCAATTTCTCCGTGCCTGTAGCACCTCTTCATAAATAAGGTCCACTAAAAATCTCACCTCATTTGATGTCATCTGCGTATGCATGCATGTGTATGTGTGGGTGGAGACTTACAAGGGATATCAACAAGGTAATTAAGTGACAAATCATTTAACTTTGGGAAAGTCCTCTAGATTTTAGAACAAATCACTCTCATGGTCTCTTTTCCAAGATGTTAGTGAAGTTAGTTAGTTAGCCTCCTGGGTGTGGGGGGAATGCGTCAGAAACAGTGCTGGAACAAGGTGTAAATAATGGTGCAATACATTTTGCACATGGAAAAATGATCCATGCTCAACCTGCTTTTAGATCTGATAGAAAATCTCAGCTTCTGCAAAAAGTATTTGGCAAGATCATTCAAGACCATATATTTATTTTCTGTTCAAGCAGACATGACAAATTGCTAATGAAGTCTCAACATTGAGGGCACTATAAGGTAAACCCCACTTTAATGAATGAATGCAGTAGGCTTGTCATTGACTTTCCCTGGCCCAAGTTTGGGAGACTGAGTAAAGTTTGACATCAAAATAATAGCTCAGTCCTGTAGCTCAGTGGTTAGAGCACTCGTTTTGAAAGCGAGAGACCTGAGTTCAATTCCAGGCAGGTCAGGGCGAAACCTTGGGCAAGTTTCCTTACTCCACACGCCTAATAATAATCCCTCCAAAACCAAAAACAATAATAAATTGGTCATTTTCAATCTACGACTGTTTGTGGGACATTGCTGTGCGCAATTGGCTGCCCCGTTCGCCCACAAATATACAGTCAATTCACTTTACAGTGTGTTCTGTGAAGCGCTTTAGGACGTCCTCCTGACGTGAAAAGCGCTATATCAAATGCAATGATTATTATTATTATTATTAAAATGTAAAATTTCCATTTGTTATCACTATCACTGGGGATAAATATCACATTATCAAAAATTACAGTCAAGCAAGTTAAAAACTAAGGACTGTCCCCAGCTGTGCCCCCCCCACCCCATCCAATTTGACTGAATGGATGAGCCTAAAGCTGCCACCAATGGAGCTGCCACCCATGTGTGAATGCTACTTCAGGGGGTATCAGCTTTTTTGAGTTTCAGGTGAAAATTTATATATAAATTGTTCCACAACAATTTCAATGGTGATTACTAAAAACTACTGTATCAACCACAATGTTAAATTAGGCTTGAGGTCCTTCCCACAGCTAGTTTCCAGTTATTGACTGGCTCAACTGCAAGTTTCACTGAAGTGATATTTTAGAACCAGTGAAAATTATCACATCACGTTTGTCACCCCTAAATTTAAAAATTTAATGGCATTCTGCACTGGATTTCCTGTCATTCCTTGAATATATTTTCATACAACTTAACAGCTTGGTCTTCGCCTTTTTACTTCCCCTTAAAATGTTCTTAATGTCAAGCTCCTGGAAATGAGTCAATTACAGAATGTATCAGTGCATGAGAACTCAGTTGGTCCATTGCTTCTTAAATAATCCATACTGTCCTGTGAACTTTTGGGCTCCGATAAGTTTTTTCACTGAATTTTTAAAGACTGTGCTTACATTTTCAATGTTTTCCAGCTTTGCAAGCTAGAGACCTGAGTTCAATTCCAGGCAGGGCGAAACCTTGGGCAAGTTTCCTTACTCCACACGCCTAATAATAATCCCTCCAAAACCAAAAAAACAATAATAAATTGGTCATTTTCAATCCACGACTGTTTGTGGGACATTGCTGTGCGCAATTGGCTGCCGCGTTCGCCCACAAATATACAGTCAATTCACTTTACAGTGTGTTCTGTGAAGCGCTTTGGGACGTCCTCCCGACGTGAAAAGCGCTATATCAAATGCAAGGATTATTATTATTATTATTAACTTGGCTAGCTTAAGTGGGCTCATCATGGCTGCTGACATCTCTAGTGTACAAATTGTGCCAAGTCTACAGTTTGCCAGATCACTAACTTTGGGAAAAACTCAATCCTAGGATGGAGAAAGATGGGAAAGCCAAATACAATCATGCTTATATATTTATATATTTCTCCCAGACCAGGCGTTTGAACCACAAGTGAAAGCATCCGGATTTAGAAATTTTAGTCCTAGTAAAAAAAATTCATCTGGCGCTTTCCTAGTTCAGTTATTGGTGGTATTTTACTCAGTTTTTTGACTAGGGATAATGCATTCTCAGCTCTAGAAGTCATTGAATAAGATTTAACCCAAATACAATACTCTGTGATGAGTGCCTCTTTGATTGCAGTATTTTGGCAGTGTTGTGACAAATATGGACGGTGAAGTCAAACATAACTGCACAAGATCACTTCAGATGAAGATACTTGTATCTTATCGTTCCAGAATAATTACTCTACTGTCCCTCCATAACAGAGTCAAGCTGTGATCCCCCTCCCATGTATCCCTTGCTTGGTATCCATCCCTGTGCTCCAAGATGTTCATTGTAATTGAAGTGATCTATATAAATGCAAGTTGTTAAGTTTTTAAAGGAGCCCGGCATTCTGGCCTCAACCACCATTTCTGACAAGTCATTTCATTTGTTAATTACCCTCTGGGTAAATAAATACTTCTGGGTATCTGTGCTAAAATTGCCTTTTACAATCCTGAACCTGTGCCCCTGTGATCTGCTCACTTGGTGTATCTGAAAGTACTGTTCTGTGTTTACTTTCTCTCTCCAATATACCTCTGTTGCATGTCTTTTCAATGTTGAAGAGATCTATTTTGTCTAATCATTGCTCAACTTAAGAGGACATGTCAAGCATTAGGGTGTTGCAGTCAGAAATAAAAATATTAAACAGGCAAGTAATTAATTTGATTCTCCACAACATTACTTAACTTACCCATGGCCTGGGCCAATAGAAAAGTGCAGAAATATTTGCCCCAAATTACAGAGAAATTAGGTATTTTGCGGAAAATTGCAGGTCTTGTTGGTGCTTATTGAGGTACATTTTACTGCCAACCTACATTTTTTCATTTTATTGATTAAAACTAAACATGAGGAAATAACACATTATATTGTTGCAAAAAAAATTAGTTACTCTTTAACAAACATTGGGTGCCCTTTTTTTTTTGAGGGGGGGCACCCACGTAGGCTACAGGTGCTCATCACCTCCTGGCTCTCAGGGGCGGCATCGCACACAGCCACAGAGACCCAGAGAGAGAGAGAGAGACACACTCAGAGACAGAAGGAGACACACACTTGGAGACATACACACTCACAGACCCAAGAGAGATGCACATTCTCAGAGAGAGACACACATACACATTCAGATACAAAGAGACAAACAAATTCAGACAGAAGAGAAAAAGACACACACACACCCTCCCGACATGAAGAATATATAACTGTCAATTGTATTCACTGTAACACTCATTCCACTGCTGGGAGCCAAGGCTAAGCGGGAATTGAGAAGCTTTTGTGTGAAAACTTTGAAATTTGTCATAGTTCCGGTTATATAAAAAATAACCTGACTGATAACTTTTATTAGTGATACTGTATTAGTGTGAAGTGATACTTCTGTAATAACTATATTATAGTTCAACCACAAAATACAGTCACACCACTTTACATTTTACTCTGTGAAATGCTTTGACATCTCAACAATGTGACAAGGCCCTATCAAATGCAAGGATTATTAAGTCAAACTTGTCTTCAAAAACCTCTCAGGAACAAGCCAAAGTGGCCATTATATAAGGCTGGCTTCTGAGTAAGGGTTTGTTGGTGTGTGAATGCACAATGAAGGGATTGTTTCAGGGTGGTTGTTAACAGGGGTGGTGGTTGCTTGAAACAGGTTTGACTATTTTAAAACAGATATTTCAGGGCCCTGACCTGCAATATTCCCTGAATTAATTATGGCAGTTTAATGTGGAAGGTGGTATTGATTTATGTGACAGCTGATTTTTCATCACCTGGTGCAGGAGTAGGATCAAAAGAAATGAAAAACCTAGGAAAACCATTTTCAGAATTAAATGTCATTAGTTTGACTCAAAGTCATGAAAAAGGGTTTACAAATTCACTTTAGTTTTTCAATGATTCTGCAGTGTGAACGTCCCCAAAACACTGACACATATCATAAGGTAACTTCTAAGAGCTTACAGAATAGATTGATTATCTTTCCCCTGTAAAACAGTATTTTGAGTTGTAGTTTAAAGAAGAAATAACATGGAGTAGAACAAAGGTACTTCAGGATTTAGTTTACTTGAATGAACAACATAGGTTAAATTGTTCAATTTCTTAAAACAAAAAAACAGGAATTCTTGATGTGATTTGACAGACTGATAAGAGACAAATGATTTGGATCACTTTTGCCTTTCAGGGCTGCTTCCAAATAGGCCAGTTAAACAGACTGCATTCTCCTCAGAATTTGTCATGCTGAATTTAAACTAGCAAAAATACATTAACAAAATACATGAAAAGGCTGTTTTTGTAGAATATGGACTGTGAATATCATTTGAACACTTGGAGATCTGCTGGTCTCATTTAAAATGTGTCGTGGTGCAACTTTCTATCTTAAGCTATGAGCTCTTACCTCTAAGGAGTCTCCTGATATAACCAGTGTACAATCATGTTTCCTTCTGAAAGCATTCAACTCCAAATGAGCTTCCCCACGATTTGTTACCTGCAGGGACATTTTTCTCATTAACAAATGCACAAAATGTCTGGAATATTATTATTACCAGCAAAACACAAACCATGTTATAAATTCCAAATCTATATTTAGCACAAGATTGAAATCTGAGCTACTGTCATTGCAAACACAGAATAAATGGCTTCTAAAAAAGCTTTCTAACGGTGACATGGATGTATTCTACCTTGCAAAAACACCCATAACATAAAGAGGATTTGCTCTGGAGAAATGCGTATATAACAATTGGACTTGAAACACTGGCTCAAACACTTTTTAGATGCCTTTATCAAAATAGGGGTATTTTGCAACCTGTAATAAATGGTTCTCTTTCAAGGTTTTTCAGAGCCCATTCCATTTAGTGAACGGAACTTCAGTCAGTAACCGGAAAATATTTTTTTTCAATTTAATTGCTCTTTTTAATTGTAAAACATGAATTAAAATTTGTTCAGATTATTAAACAACCATTTGTGCCCATTGAAAAAATTCACCAGCAGTATAATCTGACTTTGCGTTGATTTCTCCAGTTTTATAGAAGTTACCTCACTGCTATCTGGTGATTAAAGGAAGAGCAACAGTTTCAGCTAGCAAGGGACAATTAGTGCATTTAGTCTACCCTCTATCTTCCCAAACGATTAGTCCACCTCATCATCCACATAGTGTTTTAATTTCTAAATTGCTTGTTAGAGTTCGTAGTTCCCCACTTGTGCTGGTAATTTCTTACAGGGAAACCTCATTTCAACACAATTGGAGGGTCCAATGTCTCAGCAATCCTGTTGTTAGCAATGGATAACTTCTCGGTCATCAGGTCACCAATGAAGTCACTTCCTGCATGCTGCACCCAGGAAGCACTACTGACTTTGATGTATAGTCACACTCCTTTCACATTCAATAGGTAAGCTAAATTCTTAAAGTAAGGCATTTTTCTTCCCAAGAAAATACATATATAAAATGTGAAACATTTAGAAAGTTCACCTTGGAACAGTTTTACTTACAGGTCTGAAGATGTGGACATCCTGATTTCTGGACACCAGATGTGAACTTTTTGCAATGCAAGTAGCTGTTTCCAGTTTATCTCCAGTCAACATCCATATCTAGAAGAGAATTCCAAGTAAAGATCATGTATCTGCACGTATGATGATAATAACTGAAAAATGTTGCATGCGTTCTGACTGATACAGAGCCAAGCAAACATATTTAACAAAGAAAGGGCATTATTCAAGAGCAACATTTAAAAGGTGAGTGCTGGGGAATCAAGCAGATGGTGCTATTTAGACCTGATAACCTAATCTAATAACCCCTACAATGTTCCACAGTGCACTGCAACTTTGCCACTGAATTCGCAGACATATGCACTCTCTTCAGTGACAAAAGTTTTTAGTTTTTAAAAATATTTCAATACTGTACCCATTTCTTTGGCCCATTAATGCATTACATTTTGTAGTTGTAATGCAATGGTTTATAGAGTCCATAAAATGAGATCTCAGTGGAGTCCTGAGGCTCACTGGTTAGAGCACTCACCGCGCTTGCCTGGTTTCAATTCCCAGTGGGACGAAACGCAACAACAACTTGGATTTATATAGTGCCCTCCACACCGGATGGCGTCTCAGAGCGCTTTATAGTAACGGATTCCGGGGCCGAGCTAGGGGGAGGGGGGGTGACCAAAGACACGGTCGAAAAGAAAGGTCTTCAGCAGAGACCTGAAAATAGGAAGAGAGGGGACGAGGTGAAGGGAATTCCAGAGCCTCAGGGCATAGTAAGTTTCCTTACTCCACACACTTCTGTTTACTGAGCAGTAAGTAGGAACCCGGTTGATAGTCGATTGGTGGATCCCTTTTCCGGGAGTAATAATTCCTTAAAAAAAAATTGGTCACTCCATCCATGACTGTTTGGGACAGACACTGCTATGTGCAATTCACTGCCGCGTTTCAATTCACTTCACTTTACAGTATATTCTGTGAAGCGCTTTGAGACATCTTGAAGACATAATAAGGTGTTATATCAAATGCAACAACAAAATTACATTTGTATAAGGCCTCTCACCTCGGGAGGACGTTCCAAGGCGCTGGACAGAGTTACGGACCCGAGCTGGGGGTCAGGGTGGGGGAGGGTGGAGGGCAGGGGAGGAAGCAAGGAGAATGAAGGTACAGTCGAAGAGGAGGGTCTTAAGGTGGGTCTTGAAGGTGGCGTAGGAGGGGGCGAGACGGAGGGACTGCAGGATGGAGGTGACAGGGTCACAGAGCCTAGTGCAGGAGAGGACGTGGGCTGTAGAGTTCTGGATGATCTGGATGCTGTGGAGGGAGGCGTGGGGGAGCCCGACAAGCAGTGAGTTTGCATAGTTGAGCCTCAATGTAATGAAGGCGTATATGAGGGTTTTGCGGACTGTGGTGTGAGACAGTGGTGGAGCCGGGCGATGTTGCGGAGGTGGAGGAAGGCAGAGTGGGTCATGGCGCGATGTGGGGTAGAAAGGATAGTTGCGAGTCAAACAAGACCCCAAAGTTCCGGACTGGCTTAGCAAGGTGGAGGGTGCATCCATGGATGGTGGTGCTGTCAGCGTCTGAGGTGAGCCATAAAAATAGCTGCCGGTCAGCACATCTGGGTCATCAGATTATTACTGATGTCACTTTTTAAGAGCTATACACATGTGCAGGAAGCTGGTAAACGCTAAGCATTTCCAGAGGTTACTCCATACACCTCTGATGTATGTCCAGGATGCTTGCCGGTCAGCACTGGAAGTATACCACACTGACCATACCATGGATCAACAGTACAACTGCATTATAAATGGATTTGTGCTATAGTGAAGCATGTTACAATGGGATACAAGTGTAATGCTCTTAAATTGTTGCCAACATTGTAACTAGCCTATGCAAATTTTATGAAATTGAAACACTAACCTTTATTCCAGCATTTCTAAGCATTTCTAGTGTGGGTCTCACATCTGCCTGCAGCTGGTCCTCCACTCCAGTGAGACATAGGAGTTCCATTTCTCGCTCAAGGCTCTCTACAACTGCTGCCACCTTTAATGAACGATCGTGAACACTTAACTTTGCTTGGTTGTATCGGTTCTGTGAAAAACATAAGGTATTTAAAAGATGCCTCAGGTCAGGCAAAGGAAAACCCACAAAGGGTACCAACTAGCCACTGAACACCCACGTAGTTGTACCAGTTGTACATGGCTTATGTCTTCCAAACCTCACCATGTTAGCACAGCAGAACTTTATGCAGACAAGGCTATAAGAGAAAGGACTGTTTCTGATCAAAGTACATACAACACAACTAAAAATAACCCACCTATTCCTAAGTTTTCCATATAAATCACATTAACCTGCTATATATAGCATGAAATACTGGGTTTAAAACAGAGGCAAAATCAAGCCTTAAATTCACTTTGGTTTGAACAGGAAAGTAAAGTTAAATTTTTTTTCTGGGTTTTGTTGCTCAGGAATAAGAAAAAAATGCTACAACTTGTCCAAGTTGCGAAAATGTACATTGTACAGGGTAAATGGTCACAGCTAGCAAATAAAGAGGTAGATTTAATATCACATTTAAGTGGCTGGTGTGGATTCAATTCACAGACCACTGATGTGATTCAAATCATATTGTTGTGAATACTGCAGTTACTTGAAGAAAAGCAGACAACTAATACGTAGCAGAAACATTATTGGAAAACCTGGCACTGCTGGGAGTTAAAAAGTGGAAATATTTTCCATGTGGAAATAAAGTGAACTGAAATCTGTCTTAAGTCCATGCATTTAAGAAATAAATAGGCTTGACTTTAGATTTGAATGCATGATCGTCTCAATAGGGACGAGTAAAATTCATTCTTAAAGCTGTAATTATAGATGGATTTCACTGTAATAACAGGTAAACTAGTACGTCTTGGGGCATCCTCCCGATGTAAAAGACGCTTTACAAATGTAATTTTGTTGTTGTTGTGTAAAGAGCACTGCATGAGAGCAAATGTCATCCAGCAAGAGGATAAATAATAAATTTGTCATTTAATATACTTTACCACCTTATGTCATGAAACCATCTCAAAGCAGTTCAAGGGATTAACCGTAAAGTGGAGTGACTGTAATTGTGGATAGATAGTTTTCCAATCTCATACGTTTGCCATACATTTTCCAACTTTACCTCACAGAAACATTACTTTTTCCATAAGTAAGTTATTTCTAAATTCCATGAAATACGTATTTCTAAATTCCATGAAATTCCATGTATACATGTGTCTGTATACATATAAACATAGAAATTTATATTTCACATAGTTATCAGCACTGAGGTTATGATCTTATCTATTCTTGGTACCAGTTAGATAGGCAAAGATTACTTTTGCTAACAACAATCCGAAGTTGTACAGTGCCTTTCATGTAAGAGAGGGAAGGGAGTTTAGAGAAGTGGAGGGCATTTGAGAGAAAGATAAAGTATCCTGATCTCCCCAATTTGCTTGGTTAGTTGCTTTACTATTGCTTCACTGTTCACCGTCTTTAACAAGCTGTGAGAAAACTGTAAATACAGTAAAACTCGTATGAGTTTTTTTTATAAGTCATATAATCGGGCAAGTCGAACTTTCACCCGAGTTCCATTCAATTTCCTATCAAAACCACTTTTGATTTCTTTGCAATACTCTTATTAATCACTTCCTAACTTGTAATGTTGCTCACCTATCCTCCAAATCAACTCCGCGCACATCTCTCCTCCCACTCCCTCTTCGAACCCCTCCAGTCCGGTTTCCGCCCTGCCCACAGTTCAAACTTGTGAAAGTCACAAATGACATCCTCTCTCTCTGTGACCAGGGCTCCCTCCGCTTCCTTCTCCTGGACCTCTCTGCCACGTTCGATACAGTCGATCACACCATCCTCCTCCACCCTCTTTCCTCAGTCATCCACTTCAGTGGGACCGCACTCACCTGGTTCGATTCCTACCTCGATTATTATTATCAAATGCAAGGATTATTACCTCACAAACCACCAGCAGAACATCTGCACAAACAGCTTCGCCTCCCGCTCTCACCCAGTTACCTGCGGGGTACCCCAAGGATCCATCCTTGGCCCCCTCCTCTTTCTGATCTACGTGCTCCCTCTTGGGGATGTCATCTGCAGACATGGGGTACATTTCCACATGTATGCGGATGACACCCAACTCTATTTTTCCACCTCACGTTGCGACCCCCAGTCACCCCAAAAGCCGCTGAAACCCTGGTCCGTGCCTTTGTCACCTCTTGGCTGGACTACCCAAATGCCCTCCTCGCCGGTCTCCCATCCGCTACGATCTATAAAATTCAGGTCATCCAAAACTCTGCCACCAGCATTCTTACCCGCACCAAACTCCGCTCCCTGATTATCCCTATCCTTGCCTGACTGCCTGTCCCAGAGAGGATCGACTTCAAGATCCTCACCCTTGTCTTCAAATCCCTCCACTCCTCTGCATTCCCCTCCCTCTCTGACCTCTCTCCTCACAACAGTGCCCGTTGCCTTCGTTCCACTGAGTCTGGCCTCCTCCTTGTCCCCAGAGTCCTCCACTCCACCCTCGGTGGCCGTGCCTTCAGCCACTGTGCCCCGAGGCTCTGGAACTCCCTTCCTCACCTCCCTTCACCTCGCACCCTCTCTTTTTATTTTCAGGTCTCAGCTGAAGACCTTTCTTTTCGACCGCGCTTTTGGTCACCTTCCCACCTCTCCCCCTGGCTCGGCCCTGGGATCCGTTACTGTGAAGCGCTCTGAGATGCCGTCCGGTGTGGAGGGCACTATATAAATACAAGTTGTTATTGTTGTTATTACTCCCTCACTTGCCATCTGCCTTGAAATATGGGAAATTACGTCCTGACCCTTCGACTCATACGTACTTACCGTCCGGTTGCATTGAATTGTGGGAAACATACTTTTGATCTGTCGGCTCATGTGCAGAAGAATTTTATTTCCCATGATTGCAATGCTTGCCGGTAAGTGCGCAAACGGCGACAGTTAACGGCGCAGTGAATCGCAGGAAATGTAGTCGTGACCGGTCGCCGCACGTGCACTTAACAGCTGCAATGATGATTTATCACATGTGTATTTAATGGCTGCGTTAGATTACGCATACACAGTGTAGATTATTGATTAAATCGGAGGTTTTATGATTTATACAGTTTTCTCGCAACTCGGACTTCCCGTAAATCATATTAAATGTTATGGTCCTGAATGATGTGACTTGTGAGTTTTACTGTACTGCCCAAAATGCCTCAATTCCATCTGGTTTACATGCTTCACTCCTGGGAAGCAAGTACTTTAACTTAGTTTATTATAACTAGTGGAAGACTTTTCTCCTGAGGGCATCACAGAAGCGCCATCTGTTCTCACTGTCTGAAATAAGGGGGAAAGAGAAGTTACTTTGCTAAGACTGTTAGCTACAATTTTTTCAATCTACAAAATCACAAAGACAGCAGGGTGTCTGACACATGCGGAAATCCATTACTATTTTAAAATATCCAAACCAAACTGAGAATTTCAAGAGCCAAGGCTTGGTGACCCAAGAATGTGCGTTGGGGTACTGCTGGAGTCTAACCAGCTAAAATAGCTTGCCATTGAAAGCGAGCTTTCCTGCTGCTTATCCAGCTAGGACTACCCTATTCATTAGGGTTTGGGCTTGCAGGATTAACAGGAGCTGAGTGCAACGATTCCCTGCCCCCAGTGAGTGAGTGGTCTGCCCTTCCAAGTCCTGCTGATGAGGCAGGTTCGCTGTGCTGTCATTAGCGGTACCCTGGAATACTGCGGACTCGCCTGGCTCAGGTACCGGACTACTGAGACGGCCACAGAGGGCTGGTTTGATTCCAATATCCCATTGCCAAACATGTCACCTTGGAGCCAAATTCAGGCCCAAGGAGATCCTGCTTACCTGTGCCCACGCACAGACAATAGCCTGAAAATCTGGTCAGTACAGACATTCCAGAAATATTGCCAATTGATTTAGAGGAATTTTACCATTAAATAGAAAAATGGGCACAAAGGGATGGGAGCTTATGAGCAATAATGACATTTTTAGGCTAAACGTATGGATTATTGCTGACATTGAAAGCAACACTGTGGGTTTAGAGCAACTCAAAAGTCTCTGTTGAGCTGAACGCAAATCAACCAAGTAACCGGATGGAATGGGCTTGAACTTTATAATAGGTCATCATATCATTTATTCACGAGCGAGGGTTAAATGGATATGTGATGATCACTGAATAAATGGAATATAAAATGTTTATTGTAGAAATTAATGTAAAGACTCTTAACTAATGGACTACATAACATTGGATTGCTTTGAATGAAACAAGACAGGCTAATGCTGTGCAAGAACCTGGTTAACATTTGATTTAGGTTTGAGTGTAATTCCATCTGCAACAGATTAAAGCTTTTTCTTCAAAGGAATAAAAGAAAATGCAAAGTTCCACTTTAGCAATGCTAGAACGGTTTAGGATTTAGAGTGCTCACTTTTAATTCAATTTTAAAACTTATTCAAACCATAAAGATGTGGCACAGATGTGCAATTTGATCCCACATTTCATCTACATAATTACTAAAGCATCCCCCTGGGATATTAAATCTATCCATTACATCAGTTTCACACGCTGCACCTTCCTGAACAGAGATTTTGTTATTTTTAAAACATGTGAAAATTTCTGCGAAATCTTTTGAAGGCAGCCAGTGTACATTACAAAGATTGTATATAATGCTGCAGTCCTATTAAGAGCAAGTGGCATAATGTAAGTATATTCACATAAAATAATTCAATTTTAATGTTAAACAAAGTACACTTCTGAAATTAAAAATCCTCCAAATTTTTTTTCAAAAAGAGTTCAAAGGTGTACAAAATTCATCCAAACTAGACTCCTGATGATGTCGGATGAGAATCAGTAACAGGAGTGCTAGTTAGCCTATTGTATTACACATAGCTGAGAAAAAGGAAACTGCATTTGCTCAGACCTGGCATTGACACTAAATACTTGGATTATAGCAAAGCAACACAATTACTTCTCATTTCTCCCCCCTCATACGTTTTTATAAACAAAGCTTATTTTTACAGGCTCATTGTAGAATTATTATGCCAGAAATTCTACTGATTTTAATTCAACCTCAGCAAAGCTACTCCTTTAAATTACAAATATAGTAGCAAAAATCTGTTAAATTGAATGGGGAGGGGAGAGGCAGGCAAAGAAGAGATGTATAGACAAAGTCTATGGATCTATATAATGATCAGTGTCAAAGGTTAATTATATAAACAATACTACCAATTAAATTAGACTTTCATAAGTGGGAGATCCTAACCAGTGAGTTTAATTGATGTGTAAAAGAATAGTTAAATGTTTACCAATGTTGTAGCTTTTGCTTGGTGTGTTTTTTTCTACCTAGTGTGAATATTGAACTCAAAAAGTATTAAATTAACAAAGTACTATCAACAGATTGTATAATCTGCTCCACATGACTATTAAGAATTAACAAATGGTTACATTAATATGTGCCCTGTTACATTTAAAAATAAAGTATTAATATTAATTGTGTGGTTCAGGAACATAATTTAGCTCTGGTAAATGTTTTCTTGTTACCATTAAAATTATCAGCCCAGAATGTAAGATGACATTTCATATTGTTTTTCCTTTATATTTTGAAGCTCATTTTTATAATAGGATATAGACTGAAAATCAAACAAAACATCATGAAAGAGCTCTCTTCCCTCTCCAACTGACTGCTCCTTTACTTTTCTGTCTGGAGGAGGCAGGATCAAGATACTGAAAACAGTAGATGGTTGAAAGAAAACATAGTGGCTTCAAGCCACTAACAGATGGGAAATCCAGTGAGGAATGCTTTGTGTGCGGAGGTTAAAGGAGAAAGATTAAATATGAATGATGAAAACATTGAATCTCATTTTACCTCAAAATCCTGGTACTGTTCTTCGGTTAAGGATTTTTTGGCTACCACTAGTGTCCTCAGTCCTTCCCTTGCCATGTTTCCACACTGTGAAGAGAATAATAATCCTTCATTTGAATAGCTGTTTTGGATATTTGCAATACCGGATAGAGGTCCTCCTGATGTTCACACATGCACAGTACCAACTGAAGCTGATGAACAGTGATGAGAAGCAGAAACTTTCACTCTACAATAATCTGGACATAGAATCCTTCTTTAATTTTAATAAAAGGGACGTGTCACTTCTGAAGCAATGGCCCCGCCACCATTTCAGCTGAGTCAAGTTAATCAAAGTTCAAAACATCCTTTAGAAGACAATCTCCATTTAGAGAATAGGGATAATATATTTTGAAGCAATTTTTCTTTTTCGTTCAATTCTGCCTTTTACATGCACCTTAGGCTGCCCCCTTGTACTGAGAAGATTAAAAATAATGGCTGCTGGAAATCTGAAACGAGTTTTGTTGAAGGGTCATGTCTGAAACGTTAACCTTCTTCTGATTTATCTACTACGTGTTTTCTACTGAACCAGACATTGCATTTCATATAGCATCTACTATGATGGCCAACTCTTAGCAGCATCAAACTGGGCCTCTGTAGTAGGATCTTTTTCTGTAGGCAGCTGTGTACATCTAGCTTAGAAACTGTGGCGATTCCAGCATGCTTTTCCCATTTTCAGATGTAAAATGTAATGATTATCTCCAGGTCAGCGAAGCAATTCTGGCAGAGTGGGAATATAATCCTAATAAATGTCCCTTTAAAGAGGATTCAGTCTGAGGCCAACTGTTTGCCCAAGGCTACTCTTAAGCTAATCACTAGGTGGTGCACAGGAGTTTGAATCTACATTATTTAGATATCTAAATGCTGGAGATTCAGATTTAGTTATTTTTATTTCAAGCTTCCCAGCGGCCAGAAAATACAGCACCAAAAGATGCTTGAAAGCTGGCTGCCCAACTTCACTGCAATGGTAGTTAGAAAATTGGGAGGAGGAGTGAAATAGTAGTCTAAAATACCTTTAAACTAGTCAAGATGATGTTTAAATGTTTTATTTTAATCTTAGATTTCTCTCCATTCGGCGGATATTTATACAGTTAGATGCTCTGGCTTATTAAATCACAGTAGTTTGTATTTTGATGTAGAAACAAAATGAACAATGAAGCTATGAGAGACTATAATTTTCTTCCACAAAATCAAAAGAAAATAATTATATTAATAATAATTCTTATATTTGGTATGTAGTGCCTTTCACATTGGGAGGACGTTCCAAAGTGTTTCACGGGATATAGTGTAAAGTACCGTGACTGTGTGTTTTGTGGGTGAACGCGGCAGCCAATTTTATGCATTGCAATGTCCCACAAACAGCAATGAAGTGAGTAATCGATTTTATTTGGAGTCCTGTAGCTCAGTGGTTAGAGTACTCGCCTTGCAAGCGAGACGCCTGGGTTCAATTCCAGGCAGGGCGAAACCTTGGGCAAGTTTCCTTACTCCACACGGCTAATAATAATCCCTCCAAAAACAAAAAATAATAAATTGGTCATTTTCAATCCACGACTGTTTGTGGGACACTGCTGTGCGCAATTGGCTGCTGCGTTTTGCTCACAAATATACAGTCAATTCACTTTATAGTCTATTCTGTGTAGCGCTTTGAGACGTCGAGAAGACATGAAAAGCGCTATATCAAATACAAGGATTATTATTATTATTATTTGGGGTGTTGTTGGCAAGACATTGAGAGAAACACCTTTATTTTTAAAAAACAAATAGTGCCATGGGATCTTTAATATCCACCTGAACAGGTAGATGAGACCTCGGTTTAACATCTCATCTAACGGACGATACCTCCAACAATGCAACATAATCCCAGGTCTGCACTGGAATGTCCATTGGAGTATCAGCTAAGACAACATGAGTTCCAAGCCCCGACAAGCGACTTAAAGCCACAACCTTCTGATTCAGTGGCAAAAGCCCTACCAACTGAGCCAGACTGATACATTGGCATTCAAGAAATTAGCAGTGAATATTGTGATGTTTCTTAACAGATTTGATGTTAGGGTATGCATTCATCACAATTTTCAATTATTGAAGAAAACATGCAAGTGACTGATACTTTGGCACAATGGTTGGGTCAAAATGGGTTGCAAGATTTCAGTTGCCAATTTTGTTCCTGCTAAGACACTGATGTTATTAACAATGGCAGGACTTAGTCTTAATTAATCTGAACTAAGATGACATTTCAATGAAGCAGCACTGAAACACCCATGCTCAACAACAACAATCTTGCCTGCTTGCTAAAACAAAATTGGTAGCAGTAAAATCTTGGGATTGGCTTTGAACCCAATCATTGTGCCAAAGTCATATGAGTGTATTTGTGTCTGTGTGGTGGGAACTGGGGTAAAACAGAAAGCTAAGACCACAATTTTTGGTCTATCCTAGAGATAAATCTTTAGGATACACTGAAAATTGTGGTCTTAACTGATTCTATCAATTTTGATAATACATTTTCACCTACATCTACAAGTATTGTACAGACATTTAAGGTTTTATTCACGTGAAAGCATGCATCCAATTTATACCAATAAGATATTGTAATGGGGTAGAAAAAAGCCAAGATAAACCATTCAAATTAAATCATTAAGCCTTTTCTATATATCACAGTTTAAAACACCAGCAATAACTGTTCTTTCAGTTTATATTGCTGGACACTTTCAATGACATGACCTCGTAATCCTCAGCAAATTAAACTAAGGGATATTACAATTAATTGTACATCATTAACAGTATACCTGTGGTTATGACATTTTAATGGGTCTCCACTGGACTTAATTTATACACGCTACCAATTGAAACGAACTGCCCTACAGCAACTATTGACCAAGGGATATTGCCAATAGTAAAGCATTATAAACATATGCGTTGAGATTGTCCTATTATAAAATCATCATCATCATCTATAATCACTGGGGCAAGAAAAGGTTCTTATAATTTTAAAATCATTACAATCCCATCAAATCGTGTAGGTAATACTCAAGAGGAACATAAAATAGAACAGCAGAGACAATTCAGCTGTTCGATCTTAGACCTACTTGTGATTCATGCAGCATTCTTTTTACTGAATATTTCCCAAAATGCATTTTGCACTGTAGAGAGGAATGAGTTTTAACGTTTTCTTTCCACAGAAACAAATGAAAAAGATCAATCTTGGAAACTAGTCTCGGACTCTATTCTGGTAAGCTTATTTTTAAAATCAGCCCATTAAAAGAAATCTAAATGGCTAGTCTACATGCGATTTACACAATAAGACCAAAACACCTCCATACAACTAAAAAGAACAGAAGAAATGTAATTAATGTTCTATTAATCTGAACAAATAAAAAATGGAGCGACATGCTACATTGGAAGCACTGTCCTTCAGATTAAATCAAGGCCTGTTTGCCTGATCTGGTGGTTTAGATAATAATAATCCTTGCGTTTGATATAGCGCTTTTCACGTTTTCGAGACATCTCAAAGCGCTTCACAGAATATACTGTAAAGTAAATTGACTCTATATTGAATTGACTGTATATTTGTGGGCAAAACGCAGCAGCCAATTGCGCACAGCAGTGTCCCACAGTTCCTCATAGGCCTCCCTGATAATCCAGTGGGTAAAAGCACTGCAGTATGCACATCTAAGCCATAGGGATCAGAAATCACAGGCCTAAAATCAGGGTCTATGGATCTCAACCAGAGAACAGTAAAAATTTGTTTCAGTGTTGCTGGAATAGGAGGAATATCAACCACTGTGATCCCTGCACTTGACTGCTCATTTGTGATCCCTGCTGGCACATGTGAATGTTGGGTGAGGACTACTTGAGGTTTGGATGCAATGCTTTCTCACAGTGAAACAGTTTCTGATCACTCATTGTCAAATCAGAATGGGTTGCCGGTTGGGTGACTTGTTGGAGTGCACCTGGCACATACTCCAGTAGAAGAAAACTTGATTTTGAAGGGGGAGGAGAGAAAGAAGAGAGTATTGGTGGGAAAAATTGAGATTTATATTAAAAAAAATTCCATGCCACAATTTCAATGAAAAGCACAAGTTAACTACCAGTTTTTAAAGCCAATAAAAGCATTCACACTTCAAAGTAACTCCTTCACTGAATCAGTGTGAAATATTTGACATTAGGTGATATTACGTCACATTATATGCCAGATAAATATGTGGCACTATTCAAAAGAGGAGTTCCTCCTGCCCAACAATCCCCTAAATAAAATCGTTACTCACTTCCTGGCTGTGCCTAAAATTCTTTTTATACAATCAAGTGTCATGTTGAACATGATTGTTTTTAAGATCATGGAAATATCTTAGCAAAAATGCCAATTTAGGAATATATAGGAGATCCACAATAGCTGGTTACTTGTAAACATGAAGTTGATCAGCTTGTTCCCTGCTTGACGCTGTGCTTAAAAAATAACCTAACGTCAGGATCATCAAATCACTGCCAACGTCAATTCCCATGTGCAAAGCAGGAAGTGATGTTGGTGGCGACCTGGTGACCCAAAAGTAGTTTTTTTTAAATGTTGGAAGCTAAATGGCCGAGTTCCCAATCATCAGATCTCTTCCATCACTTCCTGCAGAAATTGTGGCGAAGGAATTTTTTAAAAAATATTGTCTATACTTTATAATGAACAAGTTTCTCTCAGTGTTCATCTTGGCCAATGTTAAGCGCTCCAAGATTTTATTCTACATGAAGAGAGCTATATAAACAACAGCAGCAACTTGGATTTGTATTGCTCCCTTCAGGCAGGGTAGCGTCCCAGAGCGCTTCACAGTAGCAGAGTCTGACAACGAGCCAAGGGGAGAAGGACCATAAGTACGATCAAAAAGGAAGGTCTTTAGGTGGGATTTGAAGTTGGCGACGGAGGGGACAAGACAGAGGGATTGAGAGAGAGTTTTGAAGCGTAGTGGTTGAAGCAACGGCCACCAATGGTGGAACAGAGGGCACAAGGGACAAATCAGAGGCTGGAATCAGCCTAGCGGAGGCAGCGGGTGGTGGATTGGGATGTAAGCAGGTCGGATAGGTAGGGAGGTGCGAGGGAAATAAATGAGAGGATCTTGAAGTTGATCCGTTCGGGGATTGAGAGCCATTGAAACCTGGCAAGGACTAAATACATAATCCATTGAAGGAATCAGTGTGCGCAATTTTTGTTTTGAAAAAAAATCTTACCTCTTCTTCCAGCCAATCATTATACTGTACAATGCTGGACATTGCCACATCAGCTCCTTTCATGTAGAATGTGATTTCCCCCGAAGAGTCATCCTAACACCCAGGAAGTCAAAGAAAAATATAACGATTGACATTAGAAATGTTTGATTCAGCCTTTTAAAGAAACAGTAAAATAAAAGTAATACTGTATTACTTTGATCTTGCACTTGAAAATATTGTAGTCAACCTGTATTCTTTCCACTCTCTACACTGACTAGAAGGAGGTGCACATAAGTAAGCTGGAAATCACCTCCCCTTTGGTTTTTCTACTCTTTAAACAGGAATCTTTTCTCTAAATAGCACCATAATTGACTTGAGATGTAGAACTTAACATTTTGGCATACTGTGCGCACAAGCTCACTACATGCACGTCACCCAGCCTGATGCATTTCTCGATATGGTAAATGTGGGAGCTTGTTTTTTCTAAATGGGAAGGAGGAGGGGAATAAAGTTACTTTCCAATTACTCTTTCAGTAAACTGGAGGAAAATGTTAATACTCCAAATGAATGGAAATAATTCGAATTTAATTTCCTTGCATTACAGAGTGCATTATTGTTTAGGGCTTAGGTCTTATTGGGGAAGACAGTTATGGAATTCATCAGTGAATCACCCCATCGGATTTAAGTATGGCTGTGGCTGATGTAGGCTACTAACCCTCTCGCATGTGTTATTGGTTACCATCCAAGACTTGAGCACCCAACCTCTGCCTTCCATTTTTATTTTTCTCCTATTCTTATAAATTGGCCTTCTTTTCCGCCTTTCACTTTCTTCGTCCTTGATTTTAATTTCATTTGTTTGTGAAATGTTGCTCGTGCAGTTTAGCTGACATGTTTGCCAAATCAGATGAAATATCTAGTTTACATTACAATCCTGACAAAAATAGAGTAAAACTATTAAAGAAATAGACTAATTGTTCAGTTTATAAATACATCAGCATTCAGAAAAATATATTGATGGCTTGTATTGCTGACTAAAAGAAATAAACATACTTTATTCCAGTTTTTCAGTATTTAGCATAGTCATTACATATTACAGCTCTTTCAGGAAAGCAGATGCAATATATTTAAGATCTTTACCTCTTTGTCTATAACAAATTCCCAAACTCACCCTGACAATGATGCCCATTCTCTTGCTTTCAGATGTAAAAGGGAAAACCTGTAGAATGATGAATGGAAGGATTTGTCCGCCAGGGGTCTTCAACTGCATTGATGAAAGGTCTCTGCTCACCAGTGTCAGACCCACACTCTGCGTCCACTGTACTAAAGCCACCTAAAAAAGATCAAAGGTCAACCACAATCCTGTGTCTGCTGTGCTGAAGACACTTATGTACACAAAGGTCGAAGGTGATCCACTTTCTAGATATCTAAATGTGAGGTCAAATGTCAGCAAGCCCATCATTAAGTGAGATGAACCATATGTTACGAGGCAATATAAATCAAGTAAAATGCTTTTGAGTAAATACTGTATTTACAACTACTTAAATACAAAACCAACACAAAGTTATAATGGGAGCAAACTATAATAAGGCACCACTGAATAAAAAAGATCACAGACCTATGAGACAAGTTGAAAATAATTAAAACTTGTCCAATCGAGTTACATTTTGAGACTCTTAGTCCTAATATTTACTGCTGCTCTGGCTAGAACAGAAAAAATTTAGTTATAGCTCAAATTGCCATACTTCAATTAACAGCTAACTTGCTGTGTTTTGAACCTGACCACAGACAGAATAGGATCTTTTGGGCAAGCATCAAAAACAAGGTATCAGTCACAGGAGTATAAATTCACAGGTGTATTAGTTACATGTCCACTCAAACACGTAAAGATATCAAGTTATTGAATTGATCGATTGATAGCCCATCAAAATACTAAGTCAGAGCTCAGGTTTCCAATATAGTGAAACGAATTTACCATAATTAAAACTGAAAAGCATGCATTAAAACCGCTTGCTACTTAGCATTTCTTAGCTAATGCGATTAACTTCCTGAATGGTGCACTTTATGTGTCCTTCCTCCTAAAGCAGCATTTTTGCAAACACCAGCTAAATATGGCAAGGTTAGAATTTTAAGCTTTACTTTCTAATAAATTAATCATTCTCCAAGCTCTAAGTATTTTGTGCCACATCACTCAAGATGAAGGTCCAAATTTTTTTTNCAACCTTAGTCAGAGGGAATGTTTAAAATATTTATGTACACTCATTCCCTCTTTAAAAAAAAGTTAGTCATTAAAATCATTGTAATTACAATACTATCATTTTTTGTGGTAGAATAACTTTTGCGCACGATGTTGTCAGCTGCAAATGATTCAATACTCAGATTCATTTCTAATTTGATTCTTGAAAGGTTACTATTACTACTTGACCTGCAAATTGTATCTCTGCTAATACACTATCATTTAATTTTATGCCCCATTGTCCTAAAGAGTAAAGCAGGCTATATTTGGTGACTCACATCTGTTTATTATTGAGTTTTGCTTGGTTTAACAGCCTGTCTGAATTAACAGCTTTGACTGCAATGATTTTGCACTGGTTCACCTGTTCACAGGTCATGCATCATTCTGCTTTGATCCACAATTGTCATATTAAAATATGCAAAAGGGCACAGAAAGTAAACATACAAAATTGATGCCACCTAAAAAACACAACATGATACCATGCAAGTTTACTTGTAAACAATACAATTTTAAGCAAATCACAGTAAAACCACTCTTTTCTGAAGTGAACCAACAGAGTTGAGCTTTAAGAATGTTTAAAAATTCTGTACATAAACTTTGATATTGCACCTTATCTTGGAAATTCTCAAAGCAGTTCATTCGCACAATGAGCTGTTCATTAAAAAAAGGCATTTTTCCAGAGCCCTTTCACAGAAAGCATTTCAAAGCATTTCACAAGTAATTATTGTCAACTGTGGTTTTAGGAGGCAAACACAACAGCAAGACCCACAAACAACCAAGGTGTCAGCCTGGCTTAGAGGATAGCACACTTGCCTCCGAGTTAGAACGTTGTGGGGTCAAGCCCACGTCAGGAATGTTGAACTCAGTCTAGACTGACACTCCAATAAAGTGTCGGAGAAGAGCTGCATTGTTGAAAGTGCTGTCCTTGGATGAGATGTTAAACCAAGATCTCATCTTCCTGTTCGGGTTAGAGAGTTCTAGAAAAGTTTCAGAGCTTGAAGAGTTTCATGGAATATATTGAGCAAACAGGCTTTGCAATGGCTCAGTTGATAAATGCAATGCAGTGTTGCATTTCAGTCACACAAACCCAAAACATCCAAGAATTGATGTCTTGCCTGTTTGAAGGAGTCAACAACCACACCAACAAATTGCATTTATATAGTGCCTTTCACGTTGGTAAGAAATCCCAAGACTGGACAGTCGAAGGTTTGCACCCAAGCTGGAGGTTAGAGTCGGGAGGGTAGAGGTGTGGAAGGTTGCCGAAGGTGCAACCAAAGTGGAAGGCCTTGAGATGGACCTTGAAGGAGGTGAGGGAAGGGGTGAGATGAAGGGACTCAGGTGCAGTTCTGTGGGTAGTCAGTTGTGCGCCACCAACTGTACCTTACCCCAGACGCTGCCAAAACACTCATCCATGCGTCCGTCACGTCCCGACTCAAATTTTCAAATGCCCTTTTCGCCGATCTCCCCTCCTCCACCATGCATAGAATCCAGCTGATCCAATACTCTGCCGCCCGCATACCACCGCCCGCCCAATCCAATACTCTGCTGCATTAAACTCCATAACCACATCACACCAAGTCTAGCCAGGCTCCACTGGCTCCCTATTGCTGAATGGATAGATTTCAAGATCCTCACACTTGTTTTCAAATTCCTTCATGCCCTGGCACCTCCCTACCTCTCCGACCTGCTAATTCTCCAACCCACAACCCGCTGTGGGTCTTGCTCCTGACTTCTAATCAGTCACCCTGATATATGGATATCATGTGAGATATGACTGGTCTCAGCTGTGGATAGTTCCCAAAGCTAAACATCACTGTGACTTGTTGGAACTGTCTCAGATTTGAATAATAGTGGGTACCATGAATGTGTAGAATTTTGAGTTAAAGGTACAAGAGAAGAAGCTTACTGCAGCAAGGTATGAGAGAAAGGTAGAGGGAAAGGACTGAGACAAGATGCCTCGGGTGCACTAGAAATAAAAAATAGATACGTTGGTAGTTCAACATTGGTAGTTGGATTCAGGAGGTAGGTCAGGTTTGGAATCTTCTTTTAAAAGCTTTTTTTTAAATGAATAAAGCAAATAAAATGAAAATATGGCCTTAAGTTTTAATAAGAAATTGGTACAATAATTTTACTATGCAGTCTGAACTTTGAGAATTTCTTTAAAATACTTGATATATCATTCACACCATTTGTCAGTATCCTAATTTGTTTTATAAATATTGTTTTTGTAACAAAAAAACTGCTGCAAGAATTTAAAACATTTAAAAAAGATGTACTGCTATGTACAATCAAAGCAGTTATAAGCATGATTTTCATTGATATTATGCAGTAAATAACTGTTATTTGGTAATAGACCGGACTTTCTACACAAATAGGTTCTATTTAATTTTGTTTCCACTTTTTATAAAATTGTTCAATTATGCAAGCATATTAGTAATTTCCTTCAAACAATTATACACAGAAAGCTCATTGTGCGTCTTATCTTTGCTGCATCTGGTGACCTCTGGTGAACCAGGGGGCGGATCAATTACCTCTTATTTACAGATTCCACATTTAAACATCCCTGATTTCATCATGTAGATTGCATTTTTATTATTTTCAGTTTTTAATTATATTACCATGTGCCTCATTTGAATAGAACATTCATGAAATTAATATTAATCCTTGCATTTGATATAGCGCCTTATGACATCTTCAAGACATCTCAAAACGCTTTACACAATAAATTCGGGGGGGGGGGGGGAAGAGAGAGGGGGAGAGAAAAAAGACCAGAGAACGTGAGATGTGCTTCTTAATTTGAATCCCAATTCCCTTCCTGAGCTTCAATCTCAGATTAGGGAATAAAATTATTTATGGATCTGTAAAGGATTGAGTGTTGGATAAGAACAGGAGTGCACTTGGCTGCAATGCTAAATAGTCTGCCAATATTCCCCTACAAAATAAACAGTCACTTCACTTTATATTAAATCCCGTGAAGCACTTTGAGAAGTCCTCCACAACAACAACAACAACAAGATTCCATTTATAAAGCGCCTTTCACGTCAGGAGGACGTCCCAAGGCGCTGCACAGTTGGGTCATGACCCGAGCAGGGGGAAATGGTCAGGGTGAGGGGAGGGAAGGGAGGGAGCGAGGAGGGGGGAAATGGTCAGGGTGAGGGGAGGGAAGGGAGGGAGCGAGGAGGGGGGAAATGGTCAGGGTGAGGGGAGGGAAGGGAGGGAGCAATGAGGGGGGAAATGGTCAGGGTGAGGGGAGGGAAGGGAGGGAGTGAGGAGGGGGTAGAGAGTCGAGAGGGGAGCTGAAGGCTCGGTCAAAGAGAAAGGTTTTGAGACCGGCCTTGAAGGAGGAAAGGGAGGAAGCGGCGAAGGCACTGGGGGATGGAGTTCCAGAGCCTCGGGGCTGAGAGGCTGAAGGCTCGACCACCGATGGTAGGGCGGTTGGGGCGGGGGACGTGGAGCAGACCAGAGGCAGAGGAACGGAGGGTACGGGCAGGTAGGTAGGGGGATAGTAGGTTGGAGAGGTAGGAGGGAGCAAGGCCGTGAATGGCCTTGTAGGTGAGGATGAGGATCTTGAAATCAAATGTAAAATCAAATGTAAAATCCAGATGTGAAAGGTACTATATCAAGATACTGAAACTGTGCAAGGGAATCAAAACATTTTGTATGAAGTCTTCAATACATTTCACACCTGTTTGTTTACTGTTAGCTATTATGTTTACTGTTAGTGAGCATTTCACTTGTTGCAAATAATATGCAAATTGTGGTTTCAGATTAATAAGATCGTTACCCACTCACACAACTTATAACACGGAAAAAAACTAATATTATCCACACAGCTACATTTTTGGATTATACAAATTAGTTAAACATCAAATGCTCAGTCTAGGGGAAAATGTAAGCATCTTGAATTAGCAATGTGGGTTTTAACAAATAAATATGTAGATTTTCATAACTGAATTGCCACTGAAACCAACTTTAAACAATTTCCATAGGAGACACTAGATGGCGACTTTATTGCAGTTGTGCAAAGTGAGTTTAGGCTGCAGCAAAGGGCACAATACTGTTAGCCTGTGCTGAATAAACAAAGTGAAAGAAAACTTGCGAGTGCCATAAACGTGGTACGGTTAGCAGGTAAAATATAGAATACAGACTATGGAGCACAACTGAAAACTAAAAAAAGATTTACATTGTCAACATCAGTAACTCACACGATTATGGTTACAATTCAAAAGTAAATGCATCGTATTGAGAGGCACCCCTAAAAACCTACTTTGAATCGCAGTTGAAATTTAAATCATTGGTTACAACTAATCATGTGGCCATTAACATTTGAAACAACTGCACACTGCTTTATCCCTTTTCAATTTGACGTCAACCAAACTTAAGCCTGAGCCTGTGCACAGGACAAAACAAAGATGTTGTGAACAAACAGCTGTGCTTATTTTACACGTGTACCATCACAAATTACTGAACGACTAAAGCTTTTCAATGAGGTTTCATTAAATGCGCTAACATTGTCATTTTCAACATGCATTTAGAAATATTTCAAAATATAACTAATTAAAATTGAAATATATTTAGTGTATAATGTAATCTCACACCTCTCTACTTCATTAAATTACCTTAGTGACTTGAGATTAATACTATTTTGGTGTCAAATGGTCAGCAGTATATTGTTTTTAATGTCAGAATGTTGTCATATTGTTTGAATAGTAAAACATAAATCACTGATGGTTAAGTCCATATTTTAATTGAATAGTAGAGAACATTTTCATCTTAAAAAAATCTTTATTCTTTTAGTCAAAATTACTGAGTTTGTGACAGTTCAAAGAACCCAAGAACCCAAATGGCTTTACTGTAGTGCTTTTAAAATGCTCCATTTTGCCTTTATTTAAAAACAATACTTTTGTTATTGGCAACACAAAAAGCCCTATATCACTCCTCCCAAAATAAATAGCTAGTTTATGAGAAGAACCAGTCATTAAAGACCATGACCAAATGTTCCCTTCTGACCACAAAAGATCAAAGGTCTTCAGAGGCCCTGTTCAAAGCATGCCCTTGTATTACTAAGCTCATGACCTTTGCACTTCATCAGCCTATCCACTTAGTTTATCTCTTTTTATGCTTGTCATTTACATTAGGTCAGCATACCATTCTATAGCTGAAGAACATGATGAATTTTACTCAATGGGCATATACTTATGGCCACTGAGTTGGCCCAGAATATTGTTTCATCAATGCCTTTGTTAGGTCACTTGGGGACACCACATGCTCAGTACAAACCACCACAGCAATATACCTTCTACTGAGCAAAATGAAATATTGATCACTTATCGCAAACACTGAGCACATCTTGGTTTTATATTAGAAATAAGATGTCAATCTAAACCCACAAAATTACATAATTAGGGTAATATTGCTATACTCTTCGTGCTCCAAGCATATTTTTATACCAGCTCACATTAAAACTTGCTTTTCTCCATTGTTCTTGAATGATTTCCTTCTCAAGTGCTTGTGTATTAAATAACTGCAATAACTGTTGCATTAACTTTCATCACTCGAGTCTTCAATATGTTAGCAACTTTGTGACAAATGTTATCTTGGAAATAAAGTCTGAAGTGCTTCTCAATTACCATCTTAGCCGACGGAACTATTCAAATTCACACACCATGTTGCAGTCTTAAAGCTTATTCTCTTTTGGCATTTAGATAATTCATAATTTAAAATAACCATTTGTACATAACAGGTGAAAGTGCACTCGTAAAAATCTACTAGACTCTACAAGATAGTCACATAGTATTGTTTGCAAAATTAAATGTGATCTTTTGTTGTTAACCCTGATATATTCTTCTTGTTCATTCTTACATCCCTATCTCTATTGTAAAGCCTTAACTGAAATTTCCAGTAAATACCAATCACTATAGGACAACTCTCAAGGAGGAAACTGCTAACTGACACAATCTCATACTTTCCTTCAGTGTAATCTTGAGAGGAAACAGAAGTGAAAAAGGGAAGAAATAAATTAACAAATGTGAAAAAGGAATAAGAAAAAAGGCATGGTTGAAATAAGAAATAATAAAAGAATCAAAATAAATCAGAAAAGGAAAACAGAATCATAAAAAAATAAATTCGATAAGATTCGGTTAGAGTAAGAGAAAACTAGAAAGCAAAAGAAAAGTGCAACTTGTATAGCAGAACAGCAAGTACAAGAGATTTGGAATACACTTCATTTTTCAATGGGTCAGGGAAAAGTGTATTTTTAAATCATCTTATCCCATTAATTTATAACATAAATATTGAATTGAAATCTGTCTTAAGTCTCAATTCGAGCTCACATCGCAAAAAAACCCTAAACTTTGAACACAATTTAAAATGAGAAACAATACAAAACAAGTTTTTGCCACCCAGAAAGCATTTTGCCTAAATCTATGTATAGGATTACAGCACTGAATGAGTTATGTTATATCTGCAGCTCATGCAGGCTGTTCGTTGTTCTTCATTCAACACTGAAAATAAAATGTGTGACAATGGCTTCTCTGTTGAAATATCGTTTGCTTACAAAAACATTTGGTCAGCACTGAATGATTTAAAAGGGACACATCAATTGAACAATTTTCCTAGATAAAATTACAAAGCACAATAGTCAAAGCACTTTCTTCAATAATCTGTTTTTTTTAAATGGTGCTTCAGTGATTGCAAAATGCTGGCATCATCTATCACTCTAACTGCAGAAATATTCAATACTTTAAATAACCTATTTGGATGATTTTCATTGCTTTTCAGTGCTGGTGAATAAGAGTCCTTAAAAATGACGACAAACCACCCTCTCTGCTCTTTTGTTTCTCTCTTAAGCCCACATCAAAAAATATACCACAGAATGCCTGCAGTGGTTTCTTATCAGTCGCCAAGTCACAATTTAATTCAATTTGTTTTCCATATTAAAACAAACCAATAAAAGGTTTGCTGCAGCAAACTAAACATGGTGCAGGGTTCATTTAAATAATTAATCAAAATGACTTGCATGACATTAACATTTCTACAGCCTTATGAAGATTATTCTTGTAAGAAATATTACAAACCCACCTCATCAGGACTGGATGCTTGGTATGTGCGATTTTCATCACTGAAGTCCTGATCAGCCTCTGCATATTCTGTTTCTCCATTCACCCCTGCACGCGACTCATAGACAGGTGTAACATTGTGGCACAAAGCGATAGCTTTTACAGCTTCATGAATACGACTGTGGACAGACTTGCGAACTTTTGGAGCAGAAGTTGCTTTGCTAGATGAAATGGTACTACTTCCAGCTGAATGTCCATGTGAACTGCATCCCTGAGAGAAAAACAAAATAGATAAATAAGATTACAAATTTTTTTCACAGAGAATCCAATCCAATGGTAATCTCCAGTTCATCATAGAATATCTTTTTCCCATTTTAATGGGGTCCAATTAGTGATACTTGCAAATGTTCCTGGTTTTGCTTGTTTTTTTGGCTTTCAGTATTTGTAATAAGCCATTTTACAAATTTTGCAAATTAAATGGCTTCTAATATTCGCAAACCAGATGTCGCAAATAACAGATCAAATCCAGTCTGTGACCATCGCTAATTAGACCCTTGTGTATCCATGCACCAAACACAAGGCACCTTATCAAACTTTAAGCCCAAGATGTATATCTCCATTAATGGTGTGAAAATGCAGTACATCTGGGCATGTACTTGATAAGTGACTAGAAATAATTGTTTTTCCATACTAGATTATTGTATTTTCTTGTCTTCTTATTTAGCACACATTAATACAAACCCCACCTAAGAAAGCATGAATTAACCATGAAGTTTTTTTTAATGCTGCCCCCGAGGTGAATATCATTGAGCTATTTTCTGTGTGTTCTTCCTAAATTCAACAGTCCACCAGCAACTCAATTCATAACTGCCATTTTTGGTAGGAAAACAGGAATGTCAGACTCCAAGGTCTTAAGTCTACAAACACATTGGTGGTGCATGAGCATCATGCTTCTTTATTACAAAGTTCCTTTTGTCATACACATCATTCTCCCATAACTTTTTAAATGATTAAAATACTTTTGAAGCAGTGGATACAGACAAGACCTTCTAAAACTTGATTCAAAATGTGAACGAGATTAAAAATGAGTAACGCTTATCGTGGTTAAAAGTTGTAAAACATAGTATAAACACTAAATAGAATATTGCAAGCAGTAGACTAGGGGTAGAGTATAAAACAGCCAATTAGAGGGCACCATTTAACTTCAGCAATAAGTTTCATACTGCTTATCAGTCTATTTCACTGGGCAGAGCCACTTCACTGTAGTTTTCCATCTTGAGTAGCAAGGAAAAAAATGTAACATCAGCCACAAACTTTTCCTACTCCACAAAATACACCTCATGTTAGCTGCTAACTAGCAGCCTGGTAAACAGACAAGAAGACCCTCTTCTCCCGTCAGGTAGGCATGCAGCAGTTTTTTTTAAATAAATAAAAGTATTACAGTAAATTAAAATTACTTCATCAGCCAGTCAGTCATTCTACTTGAGCCTATTTCATATAAAACAAGTCGTTTTCAAAATACTTTGGTACAAAAGATAAAAATAGCATAAATGACAACCACCATAACTGCTCTGTCACATTAGATAGTTGGAGTCGTGCTGTTCTGTTCTAAGTACCAACTCCACACTGTCATGTATATAAGCTAAAACTCCAATAAGATACAGCTGCTTCTAACAGAATTTATCTCCTCCACTGAAGCAGATCATTTTCCATTATTAACCTCCTACCCAATGAAGGCCTTGAGGCCAGGATGTGAAATGACATACACTCCTGATCCCACCATCTCTATCAACCACTTTTCTGTTAACTTTAAGCTGATCCTACCTCATTCCACTTTAACCAGTCTGTGTTGCCTGGGTGTGCTAAATTACTGAAGCATGAGCTTTCTGCCCATCAAATTACAGTGTTGCCTAATAAAAGGTTTAACTTTTCTAGTCATCTGACAGCTTCTTCAGCTACTGGGATAAGACTGCATTTGCATTCTACCAGCGCTGACACCATTCCAACAGCAAATAAATTAAGCTGATTTACTCCTTCTATGTTATGTGTACTGATGCTTGCATAATTTAATTTCACATAAATTCCATTAAAGATTATGCTCTGTGTCACAAAATGTTTCCAGTGGGGAAATATAATCAGTTTACAATAGATCTGAGTGTTGCATTACTGTAAACCCACTAGACTATTATCATATTTACATAAAGAAAAATCAACTGGATGAAATCAATGTCAAACAAAAAACACCATCAAGCTGTGCTAACTGACTGGCAATTGCATTAGGGATTGCATATAGTCTACATTAGATGTTCCTTCTCGTAACAGCCATAGGTATATACAGTAATCTGTTAGAAGAAAGTGTCTTAACTTAAAACTTTTTTTTAAACAAGCACTATTAAAGCACTACAGGATTCATTAATCAATTCACAAACCTTAAAGTCACATAATAGATATTTATATACAAAACCTCTAAGCTCCATATATCATCACTGACCATTAAACTAGCAACATCAACCAGCAAACTTTACTAGAGAACCTCAGAGATTATAGCTCCTTCAAAAAGAATAACAGTAGTATTCAGGTGGTGGTGGGGGGGGGGCTGGAAGAGACTGCTGTACACTGTTCTAAAAAGTACTTTGTCACATTTCATTAATTATATGTTGTAATAAGTCTTTTTGAAATCCTTAATCATTCAGAGAATCTAAAAATAAACTGAGAGCTGTTGAGAAAAAAGCTAACCTTGGACAGCAGTTTTAGAAAGCTTGCATGGTTTGAAACATAGAACCACAAGTTCCTGATGACAAAGACAAAATAAAGCTAGGTGAGACAAATTTGCTTTAAACAGTCAGATTGGTTCATATAGAGCTTTAAAATGGAGATTTTTTTAAAGCTGAAGGGTAACATTTAGCCCAAATGCTTTGTTACAAACGGAAGATTCACTCGCTCCCCACCAAGTATCTGTATAGACACAGAGAATTTGAGTAATATACACAATTTTGTTTGGGATCAGTTTGGGAATATTTATTCTGCATGTTTTTCTTTTGGCTGCAATGTTTCCACACACCTTTTTTGTTACAAGATCACTTCCCCACTTCATACTGTTAATCCTGCATGAAACAGCATCTCCCTATCTCTTTGAGTTACAATACTGCAAGCTACAAGGATTGTAAATGTTGTAATTGGCAAGAGGTGTCCTGTTTTATGCAACAGATTCTCTAGATTTGATACAACTACATTTCTCATTCTCTTGTACCTTTGTAAACAGCTTGTTGCTATTACAGGTAGCTATGGAGTGAAATACCTCCATTAAACAGCAAAATAATCATACATGTGTGATAGTCTAAATAGTGTCTCAGATGGAATAGTTAAAATAACCAGCACTTTTCCTTAAGTTATCCTATATCGTAATCAGATAGTCAGATCAACAGAAGGTTATCATCTTTACCAATATTGAAAAGTAAAATTGTGCCCACTTTTTCCAAATAGATTAAGGATATCAAAGATTTGAGCATAATAATAATAATAATAATAATCCTTGCATTTGATATAGCGCTTTTCACGTCAGGAGGACGTCCCAAAGCGCTTCACAGAACACACTGTAAAGTGAATTAGATTTAGTTCTGAAAATACTGATCTCTTTGCCAAATTGATTTTCTATACCTTCCCAATAATGATCTTTTATTCAGTGACTGTAACAAAGCACTATTTCAACCCATTTAGTGAATTTTGTGTTGTGTAATAACTTATGAAAATGAGTTAGAAGATGATTTGTTTTAATACGTTGACTAAAATTCAGTTCAATAACACTGAACCAATTGTAATTTTGAATCTCAAAAATAAACAAAGTAAGGATGATTTATTCATTTAAAGATTCATTTAACATTTGTATCGACAATTGGAAGCATTCTCTTGATAGCCTTTAGGCCTAGTAGCTCCATTCCTCATGTAGCATGACATAAAGCAGAATTAAAACAGAAGAAACTTCCACAATACAATATAGTTAAAAACAAATTTAAAATGAAGCTTGAATACTGGCTTTGGGCTGGTTAATTAGACTAAAGGTATAGTGTATGCCTAATTCAACATAATCGAATAACAGTTTGCAATGAACAAATAAAAGGGATTTTTTTTATAAATTGTATGAACTTAATGTCATTAAAATACAAAATTCTAATAATGTATTTCCTAAACACAAGACAATGATTTCAACTTGACCACAGGGCAATATGCAACTCAGCTGGGCAATTTATTACACAACATTATATTAAAAACACTGGCAGCAGGTTATGCTCTTATTTACTGGGATACCTGAAAACCATAATTTTGTAATATATACATTACAGAGAGAGAAGAAAACCGAATGGAAACTAAGTTCGCAAATATAAATTGGATACAGGAATGACAATTTTTGAGCAAAACAATTGGCAGAGTAATTTCTTAGCAATTAATTGTTAATTTCGGTTTGATTATATAGTTGTACATTTGCTTTATCTAGCATAGCACTGTTTGTATCGGCACACACAATTCATATTACTGCTATATGCACTTTTTTTNAAGATCGATACTTCATGACTTCCTTGCAATTATCAATTCAAAAGAACACACAAAGGCAAAATGTAAGTGGTGAATATCAAGTAAATGGAGAATATGCAGGATGCTGCAGATTTGCCAATTAGGCCATATTTAAAATACTTTGCAGGTCATGCGTTTGTCAGACCCCACAGGGGAAATGCTTCATATTAAATTGTTATACAGTATTCTATTCATTTCATGTAAAGTCTTTCATAAGTGGAATAATACCCAATGGTGTCATGTATTCAGACATGCTGTTATTAGATCTTAAAGCAGGTGACTCATAATACTGTATGGAACAGATGTTGTTCTACCAAGACACTTTGATGGCTAAACTACTGTAAGTTCAACAAATTACCAATGTAGTCCTTAAACCTGTGTAAACATTTGTGCCTCTTTTAAGATTCCCCAAATATAGAGGAGCAAATAGATAAATTAACGCATTTGCTTAACAGAATGATAGATATGAGATATTATGAAAGGGAGCAAACAAGGAACAATTTCCTCCACTGAAGAATCTGTGCATTTTATTATTCTGCTAAACAGGGTTATAGAAAAAAGGCAATTCAAATGGGATTGAATTGAATGTTCTTTCAAAGAGCTAGCACCTACACAATGTGTCGATAGGTAAATACAATACAATTTACAATACAGCGCCTTTCACTTTGGGAGGATATCGTGAAGCACATACTAGTCCTGGCTGGCCATCCAAGCTGGGGGAAGAGGGAAAAAGAGACTAAAAGCACAGTCAAAGAGGCAAATCTCATACCTCGGACCATGAACGAGGTGAGGGAATGCGCAGGTGGCAGGGACTCCAGGAAGCAGTTCCAGATTGGGAGCAGAAGGGCTGAAAGCCCACCCGCCATTGGTGAGGTAGATGGAGCAGGCGACATGAGACAGGCTGATCCCTGAACAAAAGGAGGTGCCAGGTCTGTAGGGTTACCGCCTGAAGACTTTACTGTTCGACAGTGCTTATGGTCACCTCCTACCTTCCCCCCAGCTCGAAGTCAGGCTCCACCACTGTTAAGTGCTCTGAGACGCTACCCTACGTGAAGGGCGCTATATAAGTGCAAGTTGTTGTTGGTGGTTAAAGGGGGTTGCAGAGTGAGAGGAGATGGGGTGTGATTGTAGAGAGATTTGAACACAAGAACAAGGATTTTGAACCCGATCTGCTGGGAGATGGGGAGCCACTGAATGCCTAATGGTTACCATGGTACATATCTTTGGTTATCAAAACGTCTAAAAGTCAATCACTTTCTACTTATTTCATTCTTTAATGAACAGTAATCCATTTAAGCAGATTTTTTTTGCAAATCAAAAATAGCAAATGTACTTTGACAACAAAAATAAAACTTGGGTTATTAAAACACTCTGTCCCAAAAGCACAGTAAGTAAATCTACAATCCACATCAAATAAATGTTAAACAAATTTTAAAAAAACAGTACAGAATCAGACAGACTATCTAATCTCCCACAAGGTTATCAAAATGGAAGAATTACTATTTAGATAGGTAGCAGATATCTTGCGCGACTGCTTCAATATTCATATATCAAATCACCTGTAATTTACAAGCTAGAGTTTTGCTCTCAAAGAATAAAAGAATATTCAACTATAACTGGCAAACCATTTAATAAAAGTTAGGATCTTCTTTGGCCTGCAGTTAAAATATGCTATACGTGTATCACAAGACCTCCTTTTTTGAACACAAGTTTAACAGCATCATGAAAAGGCGCACTTTAAATGAAGAATTGAAATATATACCTGTGCATAGGAGCCAATAATATGGTTTTGAATTTCATCCATTGTGTCTGTCCCATACGAAACGGTGCCCAGGTGGAGGCGCTTGAATACCATCTCATTTTTAGTAAGGGTTCCTGCAAAAAGCACAACAGAAAATAGAACATCAATACAACTCTCGCCTAAATTTACAACAGTACCATATATAAATTTTCAATTGGAAAATCAACCTTAGACTGCATAGACCTCAATTTGCATTCACGCTTACTTGGTATAATATCCTCGAATCCAAATAATGTGTTGCTTTCATTAAGAAAGCCCATGTTTCGACAAATTGAATGAGAGTTTACTGTTAAGGGACAAAGTGTGGATTGATCCATACTACTAAAATATTTAAATAGCTTTCTGTGGTTCTTATGAACAAAGTTATTCGATTTGAAATTAGATATTAAATCATTTAAAAAAAGATTTCTTGGATGGAGCCTGGATGATTGAAGTAAAACAATTAAATAAAGCTAAAAATGGTCAAAGGAAATGAGTTTGAATGCAAAAAAGCCCCACAGGCGACATCCGCCTTGGGCAGCAGCAGCTGCAACACAGCAGAACATCATTTCCTAAAACACAGGCAGCAGCAACAAAACTTTCCGTCTTCAATATGATACAGACATGCACTTCATGGGACTGAAACAGTAAAGCTGTGGAGCAAAAGTAGTAATGCCAAAACATTTGATTTGATAATCATGAGTGGATAAAGTGGATTTGCTGTGCAGCTTATAGGACCACACATTTAAAATGCCACAATAAATGTTATTCCTAAATCATATATTTATTTTCTTTCTTTGAATGGGGAAACGCCCTTCTTGGAGTCGGGGTGGAGGAAAAAGAAACAGAGAGGAACACAGTTTCACTTAATTCAGATGACAAAGTGTAATTGTTACGTCTAACCCACTAAAACTGCATGTTTGCCACTCAGACCACCCTACCCATTAGAGCTGTGACTTGCAGGGTTAATGGGAGTGGAAAGAGTCCATGCCCCAGTGACTGGTCTGCCCTGGACTTGGTGGCAGCGGACCTGCCTGGCTCAGGAACTGGACTACCAAGACCCCACAGAGGGTTGGCTGGATTCTGAAAGTCCTTTGCCAAACATGTCACTTTGGAGCCAGTTCAGCTCCAAGGAGACCCTGCGTACCTCAAACTCCAAGTAACACTTTCCAGCAGCTATTGCCCCAAACCTCAGGTTTCCTCATCAGCTATCTGACTTCAGAGTGGTGCGAGCACTTTTATAGGACAGCATGTGACATGCCAGTCAGCTTGCTGTTCTTAAGGTACAATCCAAACCACGTACCAGATCCAAGTGAAAAATATACAGTGAAAAGTCAAGAATCCTAACAAAGTGCTACTATGATTCCAAATCATTACATAATCACCATGACAATAGTTTAGTATCATGGTGCACTCATTGTATTAACATTGTCTCCTTCCTCTGATTTAGGAAACTGAAGCAGACCTCTGAATATTCCACAGGACGCCTGACGACAATCAAACAATATTTGTTTGCTTGTAATAGCAGTATAAAATAAAGCATTAGAATTTCAATGTAGCTCAGTTTTAGTACTGGTCTACATCCAACTTCTTCACAAAACAAGTTTTGTTTCTTCAAAAGTTTGATTAGGTGGAAGTGTTTATGATACATCTCACAAACTTCTGACCCAGAGGCAAGTGTTCCACCAACTGAGCCAAGCTGCTATCATTATTGCGACTACCAAAAAAGTATATTATGACACAATTAACCATGCTGAAGAATAGCAGCAAGACCGACTTACTGAGTTATTATTACATTGATGTAAACATACATCATATAGTAGTTATAGAATTGATAACCAGTTCAAGTAAAATTACAACAGTCTATGCTGTTTGCCAGATTAATTTGATGCACTGAAATCATTTAATAGACTACTTCATACTTCAATACCGCATTATCAGCCCAATGAAAAAATTAACCGATGTCTCCATTAAAAACAGTTTAATCTTCTCATTCTAAGCATTTATTTGACATGTGATTCATATATATATATTTTAATAATAACTGAAACAAAAATGCATTTTTGTATTCAGATTTATGGAACACTCAATTGTTACTGTGTCAACGATGGAAATGGAAACCAGGTTTAGATTTTACAGCTATTAAAATATTTGTTTTAACATATCACAAGTGTTTCTGTATAATTAATGCTTATGATATTTATTAAAAAAACAGTTCCAGCTGTTTGCATTACTAATTCCTTCATAATACAATGAAGATAATATCCAATTGACACTGGGATTAATTTATTGTATCATTAGGCGTACTCAGACTTAGTGTTCAGAAGTTATGAGCTCTCCACCGCATTGTTCTTAAACAATGGTGTCATCAAAAGCAAGCACTGGGAAGATTAAAGCTCTACTTGCAGATTAAGTACAAATTATCTGTCCTCCTGTTTCAGCACCATTTATTCATTTATCACATAACGTCTAGTATTTCTGGTCAGTGTCAATATGCTTCGCATCCTCACAGTTAACAGATGTCTTCTCTTGTCAAATGAATTACTTTATGTTTCACGCACTGGTGGTCGCAGATGTGTCACTATAGCAACATCATTAATTTCAGATCTTACCGGAAACATGCTCTCCAATCAAACCTAATTATACCACATTGCTTTCTTGTCCCACAATAAGGAAACTATAATGTAATTATTGGGACACTTCATTTTCTATTCTGTCGTGGCAAATGAGCAAGCCAAAGTGATGGACGCTTCTTGTCAAAATGCTTACTGATGAAGCGCAAACCTAATTTGCAGTCGTACAAAGGACTACCTTGCAATTAAGATAGACTGCAATGTTCCTCAGACCCAACAACTTAAATTATGTTCAGTTACTAATGGTTACTTTTAGAGTTTTAGATGTACACAAAAACAAAATTGCCCTGCAAGCACGTTTGACCATTAAAACAAGAAAATGCCAGTTCATATTCCACCTAAAGTGGTTTAATAATTTGAAATGGAAGTTCAAGACGTCTTTAGGATTTATAATCTCAACCAATTAGTATGAAGAAGATACCCTCAGTATATATTTGGCCTTCATAGGAAAAAAAACTAGCACTTAGAAATGTAATTCAGTACATATCCCACATTCCAAGAAATGTTCGAAGTACTAAATCTGGGGTGTTGACGTTTATATTCTACAACCAAAATGAATATTTTCATTATGAAAATTCATACACAGTTAATAATAATCTTTGCGTTTGATATAGCGCCTTATCAAGTTGTTGAGACGTCTCAAAGTGCTTCACTGGAGTAACCGTCACTGGAGTGATTGTGCATTTTGTGAGCGAAACATGGCAGCCAAATGCGCACAACAGATCAGTTTAAATCATTTCTTCATATATGGAAGTGAAGTAGAAATCACAAAAAAAATATATAACTTGGCCTGGTTGTACAGGAGAAGCTAGCAATTCTGAAACAGCACTTACCAATTTGGTGGATTAGTGGTTCAACCGGGCTAGAATGTGGTCTCTTAGCTAATATCCCCAAATATGTGCTGTTATCAGTCTCTCTCCCCCTATAGGATGAAAGAGTTTCATACTAATAGAAACACAGCTTACCCACAGTTGCTAGCAAGAGTGAAACCATTTTATATAATCACTATAGTTTACAGAGCAGGTTCATGCTTACTGATCTGTATGGATAAGAGCTGCCGCCATTAGTATGCAACTTTCACTGAAAGTATTACTGAACAAGGAGACAATGGGAGGGGGGTGGGGGGGAGGTAAGCAGTAGAGGGGAAACAAAAGCAAGCACTTCCCTGAGCAGGTGGTAATAGCTGGCTGACAACTAAGCTAAAATCCTTGCGTTTCCTCACAACCCAAATCCCATTTTCTTCAAACAAAGATCTGGGACTCTTGTGCTGCCCATCTACTTTCACCACAAAGTGTAAATGTTTAAATATTACCTTCTCCCAGCAATAGTTCATCTACATTACTTAGCAACAGTAGCTTTCAAATAAATACATTTTATTTAATTTTAGGAGGTGTGAATAATAATAATCCTTGCATTTGATATAGTGCCTAATCACGTCGATGAGACGTCTCAAAGTGCTTCACAGAATATGTTGTAAAGTGAATTGACTGTATATTTTGTGGGTGAAACGCAGCAGCCAAATGCACACAGAATGTTAAGATAACTCATACCGCCTTCTATTTCCCTAATACAAAATGTTCCAAATATGTGTTTTGCATTTTTAAAATATTCATGTTGGAAGAAAAGTACCAGTGGAATGGCTTGGAGGAGATTCTAGGCTCTTGCGGAGGACGAGATGGGAGTCATTCGAATCAAAGATTATATAAAAAANGTATAGAAATTTTNCTTCCCAACCACATCCCCTCAGAAAATTCCACTTTAGCTATTGAGTAAAATGCAATGCAGCCTTGTAACAATAATACATGTTCAGCAATCCGGTATTCTATAGCAATTTTGTTTTAAAAATGTATGATTTATTTACTTTTTAACTAACATTTTAAAACTTCATGGTTCATTGGTGATACAAAAAGTACATTTTAAAATGTCATTGAGGATAATTGAATAGTGATGGGTCCCATCCCGAACTGAATATAACTTCACCTTCCATTTTAAAAGAAAAATATGAACTTAAACCATGCAGGTGTCCTTGATTGCACAGGTTGCAATACTGCCACTTAGAAAGTAGTAAAAATCAATCAATTGGAAATTCTGAATGCTATGCATGTACAGCAAGCTGATCAGCATCTAAAAGAGAAAGAAAACTAGATAAACTGTCAAGCACTACTGTTCAGGTGTCGCCCTTCACCAGAAGCTGAACAATTCTGCAATTGTGCATATTCCCAACTCAATCTATCTATAAAACAAAATAACTTCAGCTGTTTTACCCCTGCCCCCCTTAATTCATTCCAGCAATTTAAAATGAGAGGCAGTGTTTTGTAGCAATGTGGAGACTTGTCCTAAAAAAAACAAGAAAATGAAATGCACACCATGTGTAGCACATTACCTGTTTTATCTGTTAATAAATAAACTATACGTCCCAGTTCTTCGGGTATTGTGCTTGTCCTGACCACTGTTCCAGGAATATTGTCATCTCTCATGATCATCCAACCGTAGGCTGCCTTTCCCATGTCAAGATTTACACGTAAACTGCACAGAGCAAGCAGAAAATAGTTACAGAGGTTACCTCTTCCAATTAACCTAGTGGCTGCCTAGCCTTAAATGCTACAGCTAACGTACTTAATATGTTGCATTTTTTAAGCAACCTGCAATGCAAGTTACCCATGAATTTTAAACTGTTAAAAAGGAAATGAACTATATAAAATCTACTCACTGAGGGGAAATAAAGTCTAGAGGGTGTCTTTCAGTTCAATGGGCTCCCATTAGATATAGAAAAGTTTTTCATGATACAACATTTTTCTTATAGCAAAGTCACCTTGCTTTAATAATAGCTGGGATCTCTCTCCTTCTGTACCAATTTGCTCTTGTGACATTTTACGGGCAAGAGCCAGAGAAGCTCTATGGAGTATGGTGGGGGGGCAAGTACTTTGTCTAAAATGCTGTACTCTGTCCAGCGCCTTGGGACGTCCTTCTGACTTGAAAGGCACTATACAAATGTAATCTTGTTGTTATTGTTTGTACTGGCATGCAAGCTAATGTAGGGCCAGCCAACCCCAGGAAAGTTAAGTACTGTACTGCAAGTACACCGGACAGTTTGTACTGATCTTTCCTGGTGTTGGGCACTTTCGATTGGTTCTCAGGCATGGCCCCTGCTACACTCAATGGAACCTCTCCAGGACTCAGCTGGTTCCCATCTTCAAAGTGATTCACCAAACAGCATACAGGAGGCAAGCCTCAGGGATTATGTTAAATTAAGTGTTCTTCAATTTGGAAAAGTGATGCATTTTTATATCCAGTCATAATTTAAAGCAGCACTCCCCATTAATGTGAATAAACACTTCAATCTAATCTTTACTGTAATTCTACTGGAGACTCTATTGCAGTACCAGAAAAGAGGAAAGATGATCAAATGGACAATATAAAAAGTTAAGTGAGTTACAAGATATACATTAATAGTGTTGAATCTTCAATTAAATTAAGCAACATAAGAGGCAGACATTGATCAGCATTTTTCACTCAAATTATTAAATTACAATTCTATTCTATTGTTTTGTCTGTTGTTATTTCAATAACTGCTTTATGTTAGTTGTTAATACAGTGAAACTAAAACCACAGTCATGAACTAGTGACGGCAAAAGAGCAAGTAGAAATTTCGTTCACAGCAGTATGATCCTTCTGGGATCAACATTTCTGCTGCTCCTGCTACTACAGTTTCCTGATAAAGATCAGTTTCCTTCACAATTAGCAGCAGGTATGAATTTCAACAGAGCCACATTCAGCGGCTCTGGGCAGCAACTTTTAAAAATTTCTTACCTGATGGGAATGATATAGGAAAATAACAGGATGAAGCGGAATAGGTAACGATACCAAGGCCCTATGAATCCTTGCAGGGCTACCATAACCACTGAAAGTACAACTAAAGCGAAAAACAAAGCTTTTGTCAACCGATTTAATTCCAGGTCCAGCAAGCCAACCTGCAAGAAAGCAAGAGAAATAACGCAGTAAATAATCTGGTGCTGAAAATTAATCTGTTGGTTACTAATAGCTTGAATAAAAAGTTCCAAGAATTTTTCCTCAATCTATCAAAAAAATTGTCATTTTCATGATGAATTTACCACATTTCATTATTCTGTCAGATCAGGTAAGGCTGACAGACTAACTGAACGTCACTAAACTCATGGCCAGAAACCAGAGCAACCAACTGCTGAATATATTCACCTCTGTAAACCAGATTTAGATCCCATGGTGGTGTTACTTGATATCCACTAGAAGAATCTTCCATACATTTTCATAAATGTCAAAACCAAGTGAGATTCCTCTTAAAGAACTGGATGACTTTTGCAGAAAATGGTAAAAGACAAATATCGGTCAACCAGATGCTGCTGTAAGCACTGCAGGATCAACTCTACATCACAGAAGATTCACAAGGTTTGCCAAGTAGCATTGAATGTTTTCTTATTTAAAGTTGTATCCTCGGTTGTTAGCAGGTTCCAAGCTTCCATAAGTATCTAGCTATACCACAGCAAATGATAATCTTCAATACAGAAATCTCTCTTCCCCTCAAAAATGTCTCGGCAAAATTGAGTGTTAACCAGTCATCTTCATACCTTGAATGTGCCTCTCTGCATCAACCTGAGAAACAGAGGAAGCTTAAAAACGCAAACGTCGGTCTCCATTAAAAACGGACCATTCAGCTTCCAACCTGCTGCAACCTCTGTCCATGGAAGAGCTCATTGATGCGTGGTGCCCTAAAGAGATCTACAGATGGGTCAGACCAAGTCCTCAGTATTTATCATCCACTCAGGCCTGTGAATCATAATTTTTTTGAGTGAGCCTATAGCTATTCAATAGTACATTTCAGCCAGGATTGAGTTGCTTGTCTCCTCTGCAATTTCCATTCAAATAGGCAATTTGGATTGTATTTTGCCAGAAACCCCGAGATCAGACGAAGCAATGAAACAGTTGGTGGTTATGAGTAGGTGGCAGCTGCAAAACGCATCCTTGAAAACATTGTTCTCTTGGGACACAACTTCAGATCTAATCTTACTGATCGAGTCAAAATACATAAGCAGGGAATAAATTACCAGAGGAGGAGCAATCTCAAGGAGAATCTCTTCATGGGGCAACAAAGATGGCTGCTACCATTAGTCCAAGAATAAGGAGAGTTTCCTGCTGAGATCAAAGATTCTATGGGCAGAACGATTGGCAATCCTGGAAGACTGCTTTACCCCAGGAGGTAGTCTGCTTTACCCAAGTTTGCCCAGGATTCAAAATTTTCAACCAGCCATAAACTGCAAAGTTGTCAGCGAACAATGCCTTATGTATAGCAACCCTATTTTGTGCATGGATGGAGAAGATCTCAGTCTACCATTGTGTAGGACCAAGGGTCAAGAATACAATCTTATTTTCCAATGGCTAGACCTGATCCAAAATCGAACTACCACAGTATATAGCAAGAGTATACTGTATTACCAAGGACAAATATTTGGTATTTACTGAAAATGTACTAATTTCATTAAACAATTGATTTTAAAATTCTAGACTGATAACATTATTTATCTGAATTTACAGTTCAGAGCTGCAAATATACTTAAGTGCAGGTACTAGCAACAGACTGATCTATTATATTAAAAAAGAGCTCAAAACCTGCAACATTATGCACCCATGAAATTCCCTTTACATTTACCAAGATGGTCACAGGGATGTGAATACCTTGGTAAATGTAAAACTAATTTGTGACTTAAAACTGGAGGACAATGATAATTTGCCCACAGATATACAGTCAATTCACTTTACAGTATATTCTGTGAAGCGCTTTGAGACGTCTAGAAGACGCGAAAAGCGCTATATCAAAATGCAAGGATTATTATTACCATATATATATTATATAACTCAGAGTGAGTACAGATCAGTAATCTCATCAAGGGATTCAGATGACGTCAGAAACCAAAGCAAGAGCTTTACAATTTGGATTTATATCAAATCATCTTCAATTGAAGTTCTCCCTTCATAAAATGGATGAAAACACTGCCTTGAAATGCCCCAATTAGGATTTCACGACATTTATTGTGCAGTTGGTGGGAGAACTTTGTTTTTGTTTGTAACTGGCAGCAGCACCACGGCAGACATTGAACACTCCATGCAGCTGATGCCCAATGACAGATTGTGACACGATCACTGGAAGTACATGAAGTGATAAGTGACAGCTGGTTAATTAGGAACAGTCAGGGAATATAATATCACAATCTGAAAACCACTCTGTAAGAATGCTAACATGACAATTCAAACCTTTTTGACATGACAGGAAAACAAAAGGTAAAACTGTTTTTAAAAAACAATTTCCCTCCCTTCACGACATTTCAAAAAAGCTAAAGGGGGGAAATAGAAAATATAAATGTTTCAACCAGAGCTGTAAAAGTCAATTTCGCTTCTGTATCAACAGTTGCATTTGTACACAGATCCAGACAATTTAATTATAAAATTGCAATTGAATTTTCGAGGGAGTTATTTGGATTCTTTCCTCTGATATCTTTATTTTAAAAATTATAGTGAGGAAGTGCTGTCTGCAAGTACATCACGATATCTAACATAAAAACCCAAATTATAGGGCTTTAGACAATAAGCAATTCCTGGCTTCGTACACTGCAAAATCAGAAACAAAACCTTCATTTATTTAAGTGCTTTTTCAGATCATTCATGATCATAATTATAACTGAATTCCCCTTTAATATCAATTGACCAATTTGTTTCTGTCCAGTTTAAGTGGATGTTTTGTTTATCACCGTTAATCACTTTCAAACATTCCAGTGTCTTACACTTAGCCAGACTCTCCTTTTTTTCCTGTTTATTTTGGAGTACGTTGCACAGTCAATAAAACTGGCAACAGAAAAATGGGCATCACAAAAGAATTCCTCCCACAACCTCATGAAAGCTCTTTTTAAATCCTGCTTTCTGTAAAGGGAAAATAAACTAACACAATTCCCCAATTAAAGATTCAGAAAAGCTCTACATTTAAACCATTCAGATGAATTCAGAAATTCCAAAGACTGATCTTTCTTTTCCCCTGATAACTAAGATTTTGTGGACTCTAGCAAACTGATTTATCAGCCATGTTCAAAGCCAAAGCAATTTCCACAGCTTTTGCTAATACATGGTTTATGCTTGAGTTATTGAGAAAAAATGGGTTTTGGGATTAAAATGAAGAAAAATTAAACCAAAGAAGCCGGGCATGTTTCAAAGACCAGATCTCTTTGGGTTCACAATAGCAGTCTAAGTTTCAGGCCTCACTGCGGATAAGATGAAGTCATTATTCATTCAGTCAAGGAAAAAAAGACTCAATTACCTCAACCTAAAGATGCTATCAATGAATGCAAAGTGCATATTTTGCTCTATTCATCTAAATCCCATTAAAAGTGAAAGGAATGATTTAATCTGGCCGTCTAAAGTTGGTCTTTTTTTGTAATAAAATAAAGAATCACTGTCTCGCAATATGCATAACCACTGACTGAGACTGTTCCCCTGCATCATAACAGCAGAAAAAACTGTGAAACTCTATACAGAAAATGCAGCAGAGAACCACTGTTCCCTTGGAAAAAAAAAGTCACTGCTTCAATGAACTGCCACCTCATAAATATGGTAAATTCTACTCTGCTCCAACAATGAAAAACAATTCTTGGTAAATAAATGTGTTGCATAACATTTTCACTTTCCCACACTGTGTAGCCATCACTTTCAATCTACACACAAGAAACATCTGATTGGTAATTGGTTCATCAAGAAAAAGAATGGAACACAAAACGTAAATGGAGGCTTCTATGACAAGCCATACTCAAGTCAGCACTTAATTAATAGGCAACTATGATAATCTGACAAAAATATAGTAAAACATCATATTAGATAAATAAAACAAAACTGTCTGCAAACAAAAAGTACTTTACACACAATAATAAATCTTAATGTGTTACTAATTACATTTGTACATCACTGGCTACCATTTCCTGAACCCTGGCTGTGAAGTGTTTGGGAAAGTGAGAGTTAAAAGGACACAAGTGGTATACCACTACATTAACTTTTTGCTTGGGAGTTTCACTTTGACAATTTGCAATGTGAATGAAAAACTGATAGAAATATTCATAGAATTAGATTTTGTACATTTTAAGGTGGAAAATAAAATGACATTTTCATCATGCAAGTGAATACTGTTTGAACACTTCTGATGCTAGCCCCAAACTCTGAACCACAAGTACTGTAAACATGCCACTTTCTCAAACAAGTTACACATTCTGGTGTGATGCAACATTTAAAAATCACACCTTCAGTGTGCATAGGTCAAATAGTCATTGTGAATGTGTGCTGCTATGTCAACCCCCCACCCCCCCCCCATTATTATACGTCTTTAAAAGTCACCCACAGAAACGTCACAATTTTTCTGTTTTGTAACAGATCATTTTGTATCTTAGGATGGGAACTATCACTATTTCTCCAGCAGTGTGGCAATGGCGATGATGATCTTATAGTTGCAATACAGGGGGGGAAAGTATGAAAAAATATTTAAAAGTATCTGGCTTTAGAAACTTCTGAATTTTACAGGCTCCAAAACACAAGTGTTCTTTGCTGCACGTTATACTGTGTAATTGGGTTCTGAAACAAATAAGTAATAAGCACATATACCCTTAAGCTCGGAATGGTTTTCTTCAAAATACCCTTTATTGATTTTTACAGTGTGAACAATGGTTACACCTTAGTTTCTATTTTATTATGTTCAAATTGAAATCTTTGCACGTCTGCAAATCAATGTTGCCATATTAATGAACAATTACACCGTTATCTGGTCAAGGATTGGTATTTATTTAAAAAAAAGGAGATAGAAACTTACTATGTCTATCACATACTCAGATGCTACTGAACAAAAAAAAATGTGCAAAGTATCAAAATGAGAAACCTGCTGTCCTATTACCCTCAGCAAAGATAATAA